ACAAGTTTGAGATGAGAAGTTGTCCGGCTCAGCACGAGCAGCTTCGTAAGAGGAACTCGGCAGAAGTTCACCGTGTCTTTGAACGCCTCGTTTAAAGTCAGACAGCAGCTCCTCTCCCGTCTAAAACACACCTCAAACAAACCTCAAACAAACCTAAAGCGAGAGTTGGGAGGGGTTCAACCTTTGCCCCCACTGAGGGAAGCCATCTTTTTAAATCACACCTTAATCAGCCCGATATCGTGTCGTAAGCTCGCGGGATGAACAGCTGAAGCTGAAGAGGAAACACATCTTAAACTGGATCAACATCGTACATTAATGCTGGTTTGAGATGCTCTTCACAAGCACACGCCCAGAAACTCTCTTTTAAACAATTAAAATGCCTTTTGGATGCTCCAGCGTACGCTAGGCTGAACGAACAGAAGAAGAAACCGACAGGTGGTTTCTGGGAAGTGTAGGCACACCGCCGAGCACTACGATGAGACCAGTTCAACAGCATCAAACAGAGCATCCAGCGGCTTTAAGGAGGCCTGAACCTGGTCTCTCCTCCACATGGAGCTCCACTGTTACTGTCAGAGCTCCCTCTACTGGCACCAAGTGGAACTACGTCACTGTGCACCGAGTCCCAAACACACACAATGAATCCACGAGGAGCTGCACAGGGACATAAAAGAAACTCTGGAATGAGATAAACACAATACAACTATATAGATGTCACATGTCTGCAGGAGGATCACTGTAAAATATGTGCAATATAAGAGTAAAAGTAGATAATGTACACTTATTCTCTGCAGTGACATATACCTGCAGTATTATCTTATACATTGTGTATTATTGAGATATAAATCCAGTTTTACTGCTTGTAGGTTGTTTAAATCACTTTATTCCACATTATCATATCGTTTATTACAGTTGTTCCCTTTTTTCACTGATGTAGCTCCTTTGCCCCCGACCAGCCCCGTATAAAGAGCTATAATAATAATAATAATTTATTTAGTTCACTGTCTATGGCAGGGTAATGTGAAAATATAAAATAATCCTAATAATTAATATGAGTTTAAACTACGTCTTCATACACACTTAAAATAAGATATTTGGTACACAATAATGTCAGAGGTTGATAAGAAGAGAGCAGGCTCATGGGTTTGTTGTTTGGTATAAAATGAGGATAGAAAACGTAACAGAAACGGTTGTTTGTATGTTTTATTTTGTGAAATTAACAATGTCTGGTCACAATGTCCATTAATGATATAAGCCCCGCCCATTAATGACATAACCCCCGCCCATTAATGATATAAGCCCCGCCCACTCTGAGTTCGATATAACACTTAATCATTTAGTAGTAGAGAGAGAGATGTGCCTGCTTTAAACTTTAAATCTCAAACTCAAACTGACTTCAGTGTTTAAGACAGTTTTATTACTAACATTTAACTAATTAGAGTTTTTAGACAAATTTTGACAGAATTGAGCTTCAGATTGAACTTTTTGATCCCAACAGAAAGAGAACAATAATTGGTTTGTATAAAAAGTTGTGCTCTATTATTATTTTCTGTCTGTTTTTGTGTGTATTTGAACAGTTAGGACTCATTAGGAGTTAAAGGAGCAGCAGGAACTTTACATGGAGTCGCGCAGTGTTGCAGCAGAGCCGGCTGCAGTGCGGGTGAATCCTGTTCTGTTAAATAATCATGATGAATAATGAAGGTGTGAGTCGGCCTGGCAGATCTCTCCCCCTCCTGGGCGGACATTTTAGTGTCAACCTGACAGGTCTCAGCGCAGCTCGGGGACAAGGGGGGGATGAAGTTGTCTCCATATTAAGCAGGCAGATTAGACCTGTTAAATGGAGGGCAGCGCGGAGAGGTGCTGTAACGTGGACCTCCGGGGTCTGAATCTCATCAGGTGAGCCCGGGGCCGAGCTGCCGGGACGGGGGAGGGGAGGGGAGAGTGCCAACCAGGCCTCCGGGCGGAGGTCACTTCCAGCTTGCGGATGCGGAAGACGCGAGGCCTCCAGCAAACTCCAAGTGACCTCCGCCCGGAGGCCTCTGCCGCGCCTCACGTCTTCCGCATCCCACAAACTGCAAGTGACCTCCGCGCTTCTGCCAGCCTCTGCCGCAGCTTAGAGCCCGGCCCTTCCCATCATGCACAGGGGCCACAACGAGCTCCCATGAGCCTCGGCTCGCTCCCTGCCATCTGCCGTGATTTATAGAAAACGGCCGATGATTTATGGGCCAGTCATCTCACAATGAAGTCGTTCTCTTTCATTTGCGCGACCTCCCGACCTAGCCGCCACTCCCAGCCAGGTTGGGGAAATGTGCGCTAATCATACACTATGAGGGCTTTTAAACAGGAGGAGCCGAGCGGGTGGAGGTGCAGTGAGTGAGGGAGGGTGGCGGGGAGGCTTTAATGAAATTAATTTTCAACAGCGTGTGCATACTGATGAAACGACACACGGCCCACCGCTGAGAGATGCTAACAAAGCCGTTTCAAGGTCTGACTAGCGGGGAGGACTCCGTCCCCACGCCCCGCTCTGATCTGCGAATGAAACGCCCCATTAGGAGCCAGTGATCCAGGGGATGTGTTTAAAGATTTATACAGCGTTGGAGTTGGAGAGCGTGGCCCTGCAGATTGTTCATCTGTAATCACCAATATGGCCCGATCAGACCAGTGGAGCTCTACGGGGACAAACATTCACCTCCTCCTCCTCCTCCTCCTCCTCCTCACCGGAGCCTCGATGCTGCTCCGGTTTCTTTATAACGAGTCTCTTTTATGTGTTAAACTGTTTATGATGCAGATATTGGTTTTGTTTAAATGTGACTTTGTGTACTTGAAGGCCTCGTGTCCAATAAAAACAGAGGAAACAGTCTTGCGGGTTGTACCGCAGCGGCCCGGGTTCGAGTCCAAGCTCAGGGCCTCTTTGCTGCTTCTCACTCTCCTGTGTCTCTTTACCGTCCTGTCAATAAAGCTAAACGCCCCCCAAAAAAAGAGAAAGAAGAAATTGTCCGGTTGAAAGTACATTTACGACTATAACTGTAATTATTTACATTATTTTAGGTGCATTTCTTGCAGCTTCATGCTTCTACGTCACTACAATGTCAAACACGTTTTAATAAAAGTTCAATTAAAACTGGATTCACTCATTCACATTAATTAAAACCCAACTTAAACATTAATTATTGAAGTTGTTTTGAGTGAACTTAAATGTGTGCAGGTGATCCAGTTGGTGCCACTGACTCATTTTCTTTAAGTTGACTTTATATCATTATATTATTATTATTATTATCAATGACCTATAATGCGCTATTATTGGCATTTTTCCATTTTATTATTATATCATTATAAGCATCCTAATTATGCATCCCAATAACGCTTACTGATCGGATGTGTGCAGATCGGATGGAAACCAGCAGTCGCTACGTACCGTAAACGCAAACACAATGCAGAGGTCACATAAAGTTACCTAATTGGCCAACCGCAGCAGGAACAAATGAGTCTGTTGCTCCTGAATCTGGGGGCCGGGGCCCATCACTAGGGGTCGCCAAAGCTTGACTAGGGGGTCACAAGGCCCTCCTCGTAGTCAGTTTACATCTCAGCATTTAGTTTATTTCTGTGAAGAAAACTAAATAAAATCGTTAAAAACAACCACTGAATCTGTTAAATAAGAAACCTATTATCTTATTAGAGTGAATTATTAGAGTGAATTACTGGTTTTACACAAACTTCCTGCAGTTATTGTGTTCATTGTTCAGTTTATCAGCTGTTCTCTGCTGTTATTGTTGGATATTATATGAAATGTATATAAAATGTGTCAGTGATAAAGGGGGATATTAGTACAGTTGAGTTTTAATCCATATTTCACTGTAGAAATGTTTTTACCATCAAAAGAAAGTTTTTCAATATGAACGATATCATGTGCAATTTACAGTCTGTAATACAAAATAAAACAACTTTATTTTGTATAAATTCCTTTAAAATGTGGCATAAATAAAGGTTTTGTCATCAGATATCTCTGTGTTTTACTGTTTAACCCGTTTCGACTGATATTGTTGTTATTTTCAAAGTGACACATTCAACCAGAACTGATCAATAATTACACAGTGGACGTATTAAAAACTAATCAAGTGTTAAGAGCGCCATCTGGTGGTGGTTTCTCCACTTCACACTGACTTTACACACACTGACTGTCCATTTGGGATTAAAAATATAATATTATAATAACATATTACCTTCCAAATCTGCACCTGTGGAGAAAAGGAGGCTCTTTGTTTCAGGATAAAGTCGAAGGTTTGGTCACTAAACCTTCATCCAGGCAAACAGACAGGATCCCAGTGGTCATGATGATGTCTAATACAGAACACCTGTGCTTTTCTTATGCAAGTGCACCTGGGAAATGTAGTCCAAAGAGTGTAAAGAATCCCATGTGTTTCATTCTTTTGTTAAACATTTGCTTTTATTTTCACGTCACAGCAAACCTTTATTCCAACGTAGAAACATTTAAATCTCATAAAATCATCATAAAAGACAAGAATTGTAAAAAAGCGAGCTCTTTATTTCATGAAAAAAATCCAAAATGACTTCAACAAAACCACCGACCACCAGGTAAGAGTAGTTTTTTTAGTTGTTTGAGGCAATATTGTTTCTTGGGGATGATTTTATATGTTAAAATAATGAATATATTCTAACAGCTCTGATAGTCAGGCATTAAATGTACCCTGGAGGATACACTGCCCACACATAGAGGCAGAAAGCTGGGAGATTTTGAAGCCTATACTCTCCAGATAATCAATAATATTCTCACTTCTTTAAACTTTTTATATAAAACATGAAAGAAAGTAGATAATTATTGTTTACAAAATGTAGTTAAATGGGGGATATATCTTGGGAGATACATTTATATGTGCTTGTCCATTTAATGACTGTGCCCCCCCGGGTACCGAAACCATTTTAGGGTTTGAGACAAAAACAGATAAACTTGTATTATTATGATAAACGACAAAGACGACAGAGGAGAAGTCTGATAGTTTATTTCAAGTTCTGCAAAGTCTATCACAGGTGAAAGAGAACCAAACATGTAAATATATACAGTCATACACAGGAAAATAAAACTAAAAACGGGAGCCATGCATCGTGACTGAAGCTTATTTACAGCACTGCATCTCTTCATTGCTCTCACGTTATCATGTCAGTCCACCTTAAGAAGCAGCGTTGTGTAGTGTTAGTACGGGTTAGTATCGTACGGGACAACCAGGCCAGAAGTCTTCACCCAAAAGGCACACATTCATTAAAATCAATGCTTTGAAATGTCCGTTAGTGGTTGCTGCTTTTACTCAAATACATTTAATCTGACGGCAACGCAGGCGGATAAAAACATCCCACGGTTGCTGTGGAGTGCGCATGCGGACGTAGTTTAGAGGTTTTACACGCTGTACAGAAGTAAAGGGACATGAAGCGCAGCAGGCTAACACTGGATCACACTTCACTGGTTCTGGAGGAAACATTCAGTCCAGAATGTTAAAAACTAAACCAAAAATAAGCTGATTAAATTGTCAAATTCTCCCAACTGAGAGAGAAGAGTGACAACGGGCACTGGTACAGTACATTTAACAGTCCAACAGAGTGTCTGAAGAGATAAAATAAGGCCTTCAGTAACAGCATCCTCCACTTTCTGGGCTCACATTAAAGAATGACTTCAATTTATTAACTTACAGGAGAGTCGGATGTTCAGATTGATACCACTTAATAACGCCAGCAGCCGCTTAGCGCTCTGTTTATTTCGCTTTTGGTGAGTTTTATTTGGTTTCTGTCCTATTGGAATGATGTTACGATGATTTGAGAGGTAGAATTAGCATTTTTGTCTATGGAGTCTGGTGAGGTTTCTGATAAATTAAGGATTTATTTTGACTTTATCAGCTTTAGTGATTGTTGGAAAGACTAACAAAGACGGTTTTGGTGACTTCTTGTCACATTGTTTTGGTCTAAGATGTCGCTCTAGTGAATTTCGTATATATATATATAACCTTTAAATCTAAATTTAAGTTGTCATCCTTTATCACACATTTTGTGATGAATCAAGGTGGTATCAATCTTTTCACCTAACACTCGGCAAGAAAGCACAGTAGAGTATTTCCCAAAATGTCAACCTTCAACGGGACTTAAACCTCCTCTGTAGCGTTTGTTTGAACTTGCCTTGTGCGCCAGACGGGCGGAGTTTAGCACCAGGAACGTTCAACCGGTCGGGGGATTTAAAAATTAAAGTCAGTCAGTAAGTTTTGTTCTAAATCATCATAGCTGTACCCAAACCTTTCTGTGGAGATACAGTACATATGCTGGAGTTATTAGGCGTGTTTGTTAGTATTATAATAAGCAGCAGTAATATTTTATTGTAATATACTTTAAAAAAAAAAAAAAAAAAGACTTCTGTACATTGACCAGCGAGAGCGTCTCAAAGGAGGAACACAATGAAAATTTACAGTGCTTTGACGTGAAAATCCGAGCTGGATTTCTCAAGAGTTTATTGCTAATGTCCAAAGATCAAACACTCTCTTTCATACTTTCTTCATTTTCATTTCATGTTTCGGGACTTTCATAACGCTGGCACTTTACGATTCATCAATTAGCATTGTCGCTTGCTTTTAGTAGCATCTGATTCGTTCAGATTGTCAATCTTTCTGTCAGATTTAGGCCTTTTTTTTTTCCTCTTTCTTTTTTTGCTAAAACATTTCACATTTTAAAGGTCGAAGTCTAAAAAGTGACTTACATTCAATTTAGGAACAACTGATACAGATGAGTTTCTTCCCAAAACCGTCTCTTTAAAACAAGAATACATAGTGAACAGTTTGTCATCATCAGCATAACTGAAAAATAAACCACTGATCATCAGTTCACTGCCAAAAAAACTGCCATAAATTAAAATACTGACACTAACTTTGATACATTTGACCTCAATCTTGACCTTTAGGTTACTTTTTTAGTGTAATATAACGTATATATTAAAACATTTTGGAATGAAACTCAACAAATCACAGTAGTCTTGACTTGGCAGCTTGTGGATTCCCAAGCCTGTAAGACAGCAGACATCAAAACCAATAAGCTCCCAGTTTAAACAGAACTGGTCCTTCAGTTTCACACCCCTCTAAAGGACAAATATCACCTCTGTCCTTCAGTGGTTTTATGTTTCTAAAATCATTATATTGTTATTTTGTGTACTTTCAGTCCTTTAAACATATATAGATGACAAATTAGGTCCATGACACACTTTTAACTACTTTAATTTCCCATTTAAAAAAAAAATCAATAATAGAAAAAGAAAGTGAATTTAATTCAACATTGTAATCAATGTTCGTCACATAAATGTAAATTAAAGATTTTGAACTTTTTCTACCTTTTTTGTCTTTTAAAATGTATTCATCTAACTTTACATTACTACAAAATCTAGTCTGTACAAAAAAAGGCTTATTTATGAGTTTTAACAGCCAAAGATTGTGTGAATGTGTTTGGTCCCATTATAAGACAACACCTCTCTTACTGCTAAAACTGCATGACAGTGACAATACCAGTCAAATTCTATCACTATATGGATAAAAGCCAGCTATATAGGACAATATATATATATTTCTCGGACGAATATTGCGATCAGGGCTCAGCGTTAATGTTTTCTTTCAGAAGTACACTTTTAATCTGCTAGCTCTTGTAGTTTTCTGATAGAAAAGTCAACATCTTTGAGGTTTTGACAGAGCAGAGCAAATAAAACAAAACGTGGGCTTCAGGGGATCGTCTGACATTTTATGTCCAACATAATTGATTAACCCTGAAAGAAAGCCATTTAATCATATGTTCCATGATTTAATTAAATACATTTAAACTGCAACTTTTGAGTGTAACGTACATAAAAAAACATCCGGTGGGTGTGAATCACGTGTTTTGAAACGATTTCCAGCAACATTACGGACATAATACTAATTTATTGATCCAGCAAATGCCCTGGTTGTTTGGAAATTAAGCCATTTAATGACTGATTGTAATATACTTTAAAAAAGTTGACCAGCGAGGATGAATAATATGAATAGTTTAAATATCAGTCGAACCCTCGTCGTTTAATTTCTTTCAATCCAGGTAGAAAAAAATAATCAAAATCTCTATTTTATATTGATCTGACAAACAGGAAGTAAGATTTTATAAAGTGTTTTATCTATTATAGATTTTTTAAATGGGAACTGATAAGTGTTACACAGGAAAAAATAAGTTCTTCTCTTCTTCACACCGTAAAAATGATTTCTGCACATTTAAATATCAACACTGGTATCTTCTGCTGGTAGTTGGGCCCACAACAACGTTGTTTTCCATCACGGTAGTGCTTTAAATCATTGGCCAGCCAAATGATCCTTCATTGTAAACTAAGATGAACTTGGATTTCACATTTTTTTCAAAGCCAACACATATTACTATCAATTAATGAGTGCAACAGCAGAAAAGAAAGAAAGTGCTGCTGTTGCACTCAAACTTCTAAATCAAAGCTCATTATTTTTGACATATTCGTCTTCAGATGGACCCTTAAATTCAGCCTTTTAAAGACTATAGCGCCACTTTCTTTAACTGCTCAGTACGGCTCAAAATTCATCAAATGCACATGTTCAAACGCCTTTAAGATTGATCCGACAGGTACAATGAGGCAGTAGTTCAGGAGGGAGGAACGCAGGTGAGATCCACACCCTGTCAAAGCTCTTTACATTCAATATACAATAAGGTTTGATGTGTCAAAGCAAAACATTGTTCAAAGAAGTGGATTACTAAAAATGAATAAAAATACTGATAGCCACAGGTTTCCTCCTGCACCGAGAGGAAGGAAGTTACATCGCAAAAACCCTTCTTCTTTTTCTTCCACGATAACTCACCTCAGGTGTTTCAGTTTAAGAAGACGGCCTTGATGCCAGGATAACTAATTTATTTACCAGGATCACCTCAGCTACGGTCGATGAAAGAAGATGGTCTAGATGGCGAAGTGAGGACAAAGTAGGCACGCAGCCTCTAAAAAACGCTTTCTACTATCACTCGTTTCCATCGTTCGCCGGTGGAAGATAAAAGTTTTAAGGCTCATGACTCTAGTGTGAAAGTGGATGAAGAACATGGCGGTTCTTTATGGAACGTCTTAGCTGCCAGGATCACCTGACCTCCCAGAAATGTGCTAAGCTTTTAAGATGAAGGCCCGGAAACTGGAGCCACGACAGCATGAGCGCCTCAAGATCCATCAGCGGCTGAAGGAATGAATCATTTTGACAACAGGAGCTGGTTGGGAAGATGAGGTTCTTGGCCTGGTCCTGCAAAGAACATCGAGATGATCCTGGTCGTGATGACAGCTGGTGGAATGAAAATGGTTTCTGTGGTACGGAGAGGACGAAAGCTACGCGTGTGCGGAGGGAGTTAGTAGGAGGAGATGTCGGAGGAGCTGCTGCTGTTGCTGGTGGAGGTCTGGGCCCTCTTGATGTACAGGTTGAGCAGCTTCATCTGCAGGAGGAACACAGCAGCGACGTCAGAGGACTCTCTCAAACACTAACGCCAGAGTTTTTGTTATATGTTAGATATTTACGTGTTCTCAAACAGTATTTTTCTGTTTTGCAAGAGAAAAGATTTGAGTGGTTGGTTAACTTCCTCACCTCCACCACAACAGCTTCTCTGCCCAACCCATCCACGCAGGGCCGATACTAACAGTGTGTGATTGTTTAAATTAGACTCAATATATTGACAGCTTAGAGACAGGAAGTGAGAGTACCTTGCTGCCGGTCAGCTGAGCCAGGTAGGGCTTCAGCTCCTCTCCGATCACAGAGTAGATGGCCACCAGGCAGAAGACGCTGGCCTTCCTCACGCTGCTCTCTGTGTTGTCGTAGCCCTGCAACAGCAGACGACGGAGGACTTTAACCACTCCTCAACGTACTGAGGGATTATACCACCGAACGTGCTGCTCCGTGAAGAGCGTCTCACCTGCAGGAGTCCGGGTATGATGTCCGACAGCAGCTGATGGAGCGGCTCCTTGGAGATGCGTTCGATGGACCTCGTCTGCATCTTGATGGCGGCCAGGTTGATGGGGTAGTCCGCCGTCTGCACGATGGGACAGAGGACCTTGATGCACTGCTCCGGGTGGATGGAGCCCGCCAGCGTGGATGCCGCCTCCTCCGCCGCACGCACCACCTACAGCGAGAGCGTAATTTAGGGTCCAACTCTGAAATAACGTCCCAAAATCAGAACTGAAACTGGTCCTCACCTCCTTGTGCGAGTCTTTATGAGCCTCCAGTGTCTTCATGATGGTAAGCTCGGCGTAGTTCTTGAAGCGGGCCGGCTGGTTCCTCAGGATCTCCTTCAGGACTCGCAGGGCCAGCGCCCGGATCGTGTGCTGAGGAAGAGGAGTCAGAAGGTCTACAAACAGTTCTTTACAGGCGATGAAAGACTTTGAGATCTTGCTTTCTGTCCTTACGTCTTTGTCTCCCAGCGTCTCGAGCAGCAGCAGCAGCATGGTCTTAAAGTGTTCCTCCCACACCACCAGGCTGTCCTCTCGGGCCACTTTCAGCAGCTCCAGCAGGGTCCCCCGCCTCTCCTCGGGGCCCCGCTCCCCAGCCTGGCCCTGGGAAAGCTCCTTCAGCAGCCCCCCAACCAGCTCCAGCTGCTCCGCGGGGCCTGCTGCAGGAGGACGGCAGAAACAACAACCTACTTTTACTCTCAGATAAACGGGGTGTGTGTGACGGTGGGAAAAAACCCTGAAGGTTTAAATCAGCCAAAAGATAAACAGAAATGAAGCTTCATAAATTCTAATCTTTTAGTTATCGCTCTATCAGTGTCACATCATTAGCTGTCGGTATTTAAGCTGAGCTCAGTGTCTGTACCTGGGAAGCTTTTGGGGTTCATGATCTTGTTTTCGACACATTCTTGTCGGCCGCCTGCGAAGAAAACGTTTCACTTTAAAAGAGAGAATGTGACAAACTAATCAACAATAAAACCTAATACATTTTTCAAGCTTCTTCCTGGCGAGGAGCGACCGCTGTCTCACCGTCTCGCAGCTGCTCCACGGCGTCCTCGTACAGCGCCTCCTTCAGGGCAGCTTTGTCCAGCGTGCTGATGCTGTCGGTGTAGTTGTACGGGTTGTAGTCTCGGAAGCGCGGGCCAGCGAAGGAGCGCGGCGAAGGCGTGTTCAGCAGCGAGGTCTTGTTGTCCAAGGCTGTGCGTCCTCCCACCACGTCGCCGTCAGATGACGCCCCGACTCCGGACTGAAGAACAAAACATCATCATCATCGTCAACAGTAGGAGTGAATTATTCAAATTCTTTTTGTTATTTTGTATCTCCCTCCTCACCATGCCGTCCCTCTTGCCATCTCGTCTCAGCGGCTCCATCGAGTCTTCCTGGCTGCGGAAGCTGAAGTTCTGGATGGCCTCAGTGACCCCCCGGAGAGAGCTGTAGATCTCCTCCGAGTTCAGGTTCTCGCTGTCGTACTCAAGCATGCTGCGGTGAGGGAGAAAGAAAGTTGGCTCAACCAAAAGGTTTATGATTATGTGACTTTTTGTTGCTTGATCCCTGAAGAATCTTGGATATCTAGCAGACCTGACCTAAAGAACTTTAGATACTTTTATGTGGTGATCCAAGACTACTTCAGTTCTTCAGTGGTCCTGGATCAGCACTGCTTTTGTTTAAAGCTTGTGAGCAATGATTGAGAACACTTTCCTAGACATGGAGCAAACACAATCGTCACTGACTGATGAACTTTTCATTTTATTTCTTGGTCCCCCCAAAAAAAAAACAGCAAAGAAGAAAATGTTGGAACTTCATTTCCTTCTCAAACTTTCCAGAATGCCAACAGTGAAGTGGTTTAAAGCTCCGTAACACTTTGCTCATGACTAGGAAACAGGATTGTAGTGTCAGAGCCTGCAGGCCGCTGTCTCTTTGTGTATTACGCCTCGATTCCACCGGGCACGGCTCTTGGATCACGTCAATGTTCAAACTTAAAGAAATCTGTCATTTTATTCAGGTAACGCTGCGTTTCACCGGTCGCCTGTCGATGGCGTCATATCCCCTTTGTGTCTGCGTCAGTGTTGTGGTTGTCTGCCAGAAGCTGTCATACATTGACTGTTGATCCAGTCTGAAGCCACATTGTTACCATCCACTGTTTAGATCTTGGTGCTTTTTAACTCTAGATTTGAACCTGATGAAGGATTTTAGTCATCGGACGTCTGGAACTTTATCGTCTATAACTTGACGTGATGGCGTCGCAGCTGCGCCCGGTGGAATCACACAGTTACAGTACAGTGCACGTGCAGAGCCGTGCATGTTGACAAACTGAAGCAGGTAGAGACAGACAGGTGAGTCGAGCACAGAGATGAGTGAAGTAAAAACAGAAACCAAACAAATGGACGGAGCGGAGCAGAAGTGACAACAGATGAGACTGTTAGAGGGTTTCACTGCACAAGAAACACTGAGTGAGAATCAAGAGGAAAACTTAACTACCGAATATATTCAATGTTAGTCTAAGGTATATTTAAAAAGATATTTATTTATTGTTACAGAAATAAATAAACCCAGCTCTACTGTGAAACCCCATAACGAGGAGGAAGAGGAGGAAGGAGGAGGAGGAAGAGAGGGGTGGGGTTACCTGGGTGAGTAAGCTCGCCGCACTGCCTTGAGGGAGGAGTGCGCAGCGGGTGGAGGAAGAGGGGAGGGGAAGGGTGGAGGAGGGAACTTGGAGAGCCCGTCTGCGCTCCAACCCCACAGCCGGCTGCAACCGGATGGGGAGGAAGAGGAGGGGAGGGGAGGAGGAAGAGGAGGAGGAGAGCAGCCCAGAGAGAAGATAGAGATGTGAGAAAAGTGGGAAATAAGAAGGAGCACTGTTCTCAGTCAGTGTTAGTACGGCCGGGCGGAGAACCGACACCTTTAATGTAAAATCTGGTGTCAGTTTGTGGAAATATTCTAACGTCTGAATCCGGGATGGCTCCGTACCCCACTGTGATGAGGATGAGTTGCATTCTGGATAAAAATCAAACTGATACGAAGAGTTTAAATGTTGGTTTGTAATATACTTCCGTGGCCGGTGCAGCGGGGAGCGTTACCTGGGAGAAAGCCCCCCGTGGGAGCAGTTGGTGGGGGAGGTCAGTGGGCTGCTGCGGCTGCCAGGCTGCCGAGGAGGCGTCCGACCCGCTGTGCTACTGGGAGACGCCTGTGGATAAAAACGGGCTTCAGACTCAGAGCGTACAGCAAAAACATCCTGAGATCAACTTGGATTAATCTTGAACAACAAAAATGTTGAAAAGAAGATGTTATATTAAAGTGGTAGTTTATTGGTAGAATGTTGTAGTTTCAGTAAACTACTATAGTAGAATTAACCTTTTATGTACCAGACGTGATGAAATCATAAAATATGAAGCGCCAGTGGCACCAGTTTACTGAACACAGTGAAAATAAAAGACAGCTCTAATATACAATTCATTGATTTAAATACTTTTTGTGTGTGTGTGTGCGTGTGTTACCATGCCGATGCCACTGTTGGCGCTGGCGTTCCTCAGGTGGTTGTGCAGCAGCTTGGTGGTCCCGTCCTGGAAGGTTTTGGGCAGAGCTCCCAGCAGCATGGTGAACTCGGGCGTGTTCAGCTCAAACAGGGCGATCAGCACCACCTGGGCCGCCTGCACACACACACACACACACACACACAGACACACACACACACACACACACACACACACACACACACACACACACACACACACACACACAGCTCAGAATAATTTCACCTGTTTGAAATACAAATTCACTTATTTAAAGACTTTCTAGCGCAGCAACCTGCTGCACTTAAGCCCCATTCAGACAGCGTTCATACATTCTGGTCAAAGTGTAATTTCACTTTCAACAGGAAACACAGAACATAAACTCAAAGATACCCTTTTCAGCACCTAAAGCTCATCCTCCTGGTGCTTTAACCTTGTTTAAAAAATGAATGAAACAAGAGAAAGAGAGAAAGTTCTTGCAGTGAACATGCAGTATGTCCAAAAGCTGGAAGGAGCGGTTTCCACTCCGAGTCTTCTTTAAGATAATTCAAATATATCGAGTTAAAGGTAAAAAATGATGCAAAAAGAACCTCATGTTTGTTATGTTTGGTTCAGTTTAGTCTCAGAGTTAAAACAGCACCTCATGCATGTACTTGTAGCTTCATTTAAACATCCATCCTTCTGATTTACAGCCATGTGTATGCAACAGAACCACAACATGATCCTGAAGCTTGTTTCTAGAGCAGTTAGTGTCGACCAGCCTTCACTGTCGGGTTATCTGGAGCGTTTTAACACTCGGTGAACGAGCCCGAATGTGTTTCTGGGTTAGAGGAGGTTACGCACTCTGCTCATGCTGTTTGATGGAGTTTCTACCTGCTTGCACCTCTCCTCCAGGTTGCCCTCTCCAGGCAGAGAGGCCACGGTGCTGGGTCGGCCTGAGAAATCCTCCCCTGCCCAGTTATGAAGGGTCTGGGGGTGTGGTGGACGACAAATGGCGATTGGACAGAACAAAAATTTAAGACGTGAAAACAAAAAAATGAAACAAAGAACAGACAAATAAACAAGAAAAACTACAAGAAGAAAGCTGAGGGAAGATGGAGGTGAGGCTCCACGCCGCCCCGCCCTCCTACCTTTCGGACGTCGGAGCTCTTTGGCTCGGTGGTCCAGGTGATGATGCGTGAGACGGCGAGGCGCGTCTCGCTGGAGTTGACGAAGTCTGCTGGGTCCATCTGGCGGGCCAATGCCTCGATGTAGCGCAGGATGGCCACCTTCACCTTCAGGTTGGGCGTCTGCGTCTGATCCACGATGAAACGCATCAGGATGTTGAACTGCTGCTCGTACGGGAAGGACTCTCTGCGGACAAACAGCTTCATTAAGCCTGGTTCATTTACTTTTTAATAACCAACTGAGGAAGCTTCATTTGAACATAATGAGAGGACGCAGGGATTCAAATCTTCCACGCACCTTTTCTTTTTTTTAATGACCTGACAGAGCGGCTGTGTATAATTCAAACGTGCGTTAGTATAGATTTTCCTCTACTCTTCCGATTAAAAGATGGATCACAGACACAAGGTGTACAGCTGACATAAATAAATCACTAAAATCTAAATTAAAAGCCTTCCTAAAATTCCTGTGAGACCTTAAATTATAAAACAAAAGTATAAACATTATTAGACTTCAGAAACCATGAATATAAGAAGGACTTAACCTGCACATTTATATTGTGTAATATTATATTATTGTTGTTTTAAATTAGTAAAATCATCTACTCTCAAACTAAGACACAGTAGGACGCTGTCTTACAGTGCAACTATGATTCAGATGTTATTCTTTGTAGCGTTCTAACTATTTTATTAGAAATATTTATACTTTACAGCTTGTTTTCTTGACATAAAGCAGAAATGGAAGGCTATTTATTTATGAACTTTATAAAACTGACTTGGTTTTACTGAATTTGACGTGTGTACAGTGCACATATTAGTGTATAAAGAATAAATAATACACTCACAAAGTCTCTTCGAAAGGCCCAAAACAAAATACAGTTATATGTTTTTGTATTTTTTACGCCTAGCCGCCCACCTGGTAACGTCTAGGGCCTTCTGGACTTTGGCCTGGACGGAGCCCAGCAGGTCGGCCCCCATCTTCTTCAGCAGCTGAGTGAGCAGGACGAAGAGCCAGTCCTGCAGGTCGTCCCTGTGCAGCGTGATGAAGTCCACCAGAGTCTCCAGGAACATGCTGAACACCTGAGGGGGAGCGAGGGGTGAAAGAGAGGAATATAAAGTCATCAGTCTTCATGTGTTTGTGCTGCTGAAGTCTGACAGCACGGCTGACTGCGGCCTGTAAGGTGAGTTAACACTTACTCTCTGGTGTTAGAGTCCACAGCGAGCAGCGACGAGGCATGCAACAAAAAAACACTCTGTTAGTTCGTCCTGCAGTTAGTTCGGACATGTGCAGGAAACACCAAACATTTACCGCCTTTATGGGAAGGTTAATGCTCAGTCACTCGCCTACCTAGCATCAGGAGCTCAGCTGAGTCTCACCTTGCTGTGAGGGTCTGCAAACATCCTGGTGAAGATCTCACAAAGCCTCTTCAGCTCCACACGACTGACAGAGAAAAAAGATTTATGTCAACAAATACCAAATCTTACATGATGTTGCTTTAAGGTTACGGGACCAGAGACTTTGTAAATGACAAACTGGGGCTGCAAAAGATCTGATCTAAGTTGATACCAGTTGAGGAAAATACAATTTCCCTGACACAAAGTAATAGCAGTTATGTAAAATAAAACATAAAAAGATATATACAGTATTTATACACACATTTGCACCCATTTAAAACAAATTTTTTAAACATTTGCAGAAAACCATGTTCACAAAATAACTGCATGTGTGAGCATATCACACCTGAGCATCCTCTGGCTCTTGAGCAGGTTCTGCAGTCCCAGCAGTCCCTCCTTCCTCTCAGACCAGTTGGCGCTGGCGCAGTGGTTCAGCACCTCGGCCACGTCTTCCGTCTGACGCAGGTAGTGTGGCGCCATGCCGCCGTTGCGCGAGCTGTACGATCGCTCGGAGCAGGCGCTGGAGGCGTCGCTGTTGGCGTCGTCGTCTGAGTACATTCCCGGAGACTCGAAACGCCGCCTGACCGGCCTCCGCTGAGCGAGGGAAGACAGGACAGTGACTGAAGAGTAACATCAGCATGCTTTCTCTATCTACAGCCATGCCTTCACAAGTCAAATCTACAGCTTTGAGGAGATCTAGCATGCAGCTACAGAGTCGGAGTCATGCAGGTTTCTGATGATGTGATGTGAGATGGATGAGGTTACTTGATGCCGACTTTCTACACCGGTCACTTTAGGTTAACACGCTGCCTTGATGAGACTAATTAGCAGCTTTTACCAAACTAAAAATAGCCTGTGAACCAGGAGCCGTATTCATAAAGAGTGGCTCCTAGAGACAAAAATTCAGATAAACAAATCTGATAATTTACAAAATTTCAATGAATTTCCCCTCACAGCCCCGAAGAGAGCTTCTAAGGTGAAAAAGGGGAGAAGTAAGGAGGACTTTTTAAGAGATGGAACCACAAAAACAGCAGGTTTTCCTTGGAAACCAAAGTGGGCGTGTCATATTCTACAGCTCGTTGTCCTCTGTTAATGACACACTCTTGATTACAGTGGTTCCACTGAAAACTGGTGGAAACTGTGGTTCTCTAGAAAGCACCCAGGTTCCCAAAGTCTTGAACGGAACAGGATCAAGAACCAGAGTTAATTTGGATTCTCACCATGTTTGTGAATACGGCCCCAGACTGATAAAAAACTGTGACACAGGGAATCACAGCAGCTGTCGTGATTAGACAAATATCCGGTAGAAGGAAAATCAATAGCTCTGGAAAACTCTGAATAATTCTGTCAGAGTTTCCTTGAGCAAAGCACTGCATCGCAACCTGCTCACTCTTCCATGTTTGAATGTAAAAGTCGGTGTTTAATGCTCGTGCTCTGCATGCAGCGACAGAATGGTTAAACTCTGCGTCAGATGAGGTTTCTTTGTACCTTACTCCTCGAGTCTCCTAAGAGCTGAAATGTACAAAGTCCGGGAAGAAAGAGGACAAATTACTGCAGGACTGTACGAGCTCTAACAACATCAACACATTTTAAGAAATACGGTAGAATATCAGCAGACTTATTCTTTAAACATAGTGCAGAGACGTTTCTCTGGAACAAACATACAAAGCTGTATAAAAAAAGAAAGTTAGGGCTATGAAACATATATTTTCTTCCACTTCTGTGCTTACCAGAGCGTCAGCAACGGCAGCCTCGACGTCGGTGCCGGTGTTGAGGATTCTCATGGCGTTGACGGAGGCTGAGATCCGAGCCTGATGGGACAGCCGGTCTGGAAGAGAGAGAAGGTCGGACACACATCAGCAGGTTAAGAGGAGTGTTATTAATGTGACGAATATGGGATGAAATTCCACTGTGCAGAAATGAAGGTGCGGTTTGGTATCAGGCACTTAAATGGAATAAAACAAATAATAAACAACAACAGCAACCCACTCTTCACTTTTAAACAGGAATTTATCGATTACGGTGTCAGATTAAGAAAATATTTAGGAGTGAAGAGTGTCAAAAATACATTAAGATAAATTTGGACAATTTCTCAGGACTCAACCCAAAGCAAATAGCAGAGAAAGCTGCAGCACATTTCAGTCATGGTGCAGCACATCTAAGCAGAGAGCAGCCAGCACAACCTTTAAATGAGCCACAGTAAAAGAAAAATGCAAAAAATACCATCAAAGTAGGCCGAGTGAATCAGCAGTGCTTCATCAAAATGCCACAAATATCACAAGTCTATCTCATTGCAAAGCTGCAAAATTAAAGTTTAAAAAGTCCTTCGAAAAAAAAGAAAAGACAAACTAAATCTTCACCACTCTGTCCACTCGACACAGAGCCGAGAGGCGGACGTGGAGCCATGCAGGAAAGAGGCTTCACTGAGCAGGATGACTCAGTCAGCCAGGTAACGGGAAGACTCGTGGAAAACAAGTTGATATTTTATCTGGCTGACTGAGTCGATCCGCCTCCCGAGAAGACTCTCTGGTCACCTGAGTAGCACTCTGCGGAGGACAGGGCGCTGGTTGAGCGGGAGTGTCGACGAGTCGCTGGAGGAGGACGTAAAGTTAGAGGAGATAAGACGACACTAAAGTATTTCTGCCTCAGCTGCAGTCTTTACATCTTTGCACATAATTAATTACTAGAGGATTAGTTAATTAGAGCAGTGATTCCCAACCTTTCCTTAAGGGACACTCCAAACAGTGAACACAATAACTGCAGGAAGTTTCCTGATATTTTTAGGAACTTTTTATACAATTCTCTGTCTGTATTATGTTTTTCTCATTTTCTTCTCATTGTTCTTTCAGCTCTTTGGTTGTTTTCTACTGCAGGACGAAGCTGTTCATCAGAGAGTGAACGCTCTCTGGATAGAACTTATGTTCATATCTTCAAAGTTTACATTAAATAATAATCTGAGCATTAAAAAGAACAATTTCATTTAGTTTTCACAGAGATTAATGAAATGCTGAGAAATGGACCCGACCCCCCAGGTTGGGAACCACTGCAATAGAAGATGTGGACATTAAAATACAGAGCATGCAAAGAACCAGGTAGGAAAAACAGTGATCTACACAGACACATGTGAAGAGTCAGACTTTCATACACTTTACTAGAGCGCTTCTTAGTTATGTGTTCTGTTAAATTAACCCTAAATTAAATGTTTTTTCTACTCCAATGTATGAGCTCTGGCGTGCAAAGAAAGGAGGTGATGGGGGGTCTCCAGTACCATACTCACCCAGGGGGGAGAAACCCCTGGCGGGGCTGGTGTCGCGGCTGCTCTCGCGACTGGTTTCGCGGCTGCAGCCCTGACTCATGCTCGGCCGGGGGATTCGGCTGCGGGCTAGAGGAGCGCGGCAGGCAGACAGACAGAGAGACAGACAGACAGACAGACAGACAGACAGACAGACAGACAGACAGCAGCGCAGGGGGGGAGAGTTTAGCTTGTAGCACATTCAGCCAGACACTGACACACCTGAAGCTCTGCAGAGATGGTTAGTCAGGCAGGAGAGAAGGGAGAATGAGACTCAGGGAGGCTGCAGGTTCAGTGTTAGTATGAGGAGAAGGAATACTGTTGTCTGCTGGGATGTGCATGCAAGTCGACCTCAAAAAGAAACTATTCTGACCTAAGCAGCAGCTCTTATTTACCTTTAGTGTCTTTATGTAGTTACTATTCTTCATTTTCATGACTGCTCAGACCAATGTACAGCTGGATCAGCTTGATGTTTCACTTATGAATCAATAGGTAATGTGTTTTCCCCGTTACTGAATCCTGTATATGGTATAAGAACCCTGACAACATTTTTATATTCTGGTTTTCAATTGTTTAGTGTACTAATGTGAGCAAAACACTAGCTATCCGTTATCTTTCAACCATCTTCAAAAGACTGAGGACCTAGAACGACAAACATTAGGACAAATGCTGAATATGTTACATATTTTTGCCTTCATAATTTTACCTCCACTCCTTTAGCACTTCAGCAAAGCTCCCAAAAATCAACAATTTAAGACGTTGTCACTGGTTCAAATGTTTCTCCTGCAATAATTCCAGCGAACGCTCTGACAACGTTTCCATTTCCATTATTACAGACTTTTATTATGACGTTATTTTCCAGCCCTGTGGTTTGACACCCTCCTTACCCGTGCCTGATCTGGTGGGGCTGGTCTCTCGGCTACAGCCCTGGCTGCGGTGACCTCGGGGTCGGGTCTTGTCGGTCAGGCTGGCGGAGGTGCTGTTGGTGGCGGCGGCAGCAGCGGCGGTGCCCATGTTCGGCCTCGGGATCCTGCCGTAGGTGGAGCTCAGCAGTCGGCCGGGAGAACCGGACCTGCTGCCGGCTACAACATAGACACAAGTTCACCATTTTAAGAATGATTTGGACAATTTTCAAGTTTATAGATATTTAGAATTAGAATTGAAATGACTTTAATGCGAAGCTGCTACCCTCGGGGATAAGTTACTAACGTTGAGACTGAGAGACGACTTTCCCTCGGCTTCTTCCCCGGCTGTCTGTCACAGACGGACCGTTCCCTGAACTCGTCCTCCTGGTTCGTACTCGACCTGGAGAGGCAGAGGACACACACACAGAGAAAGAGCCAGAGTGAGAGAAGAGGAATACAAAACACTCAACACCTTTATACTCACAGCAAAGATTAAACACACTGAACAGGAGGACTGCAGCTGGTCCTCACATTTTCTACATTTCTGTCATGCAGAACGAGTGAAATTAAGACTGGAGGGATCGTAAAGAGGGAAACATGACAGAAGATATGAAACAGGGAATTGTGGGAGATGAAAGACACAAGTCACCTAATTCTTCAGACTCATTAACAATAAAAGGATTCATTAAAACAAGAAACAAGCACTGTCTCTTCCTCTAGAACAGTAGTTCCCAACCGAGGGGTCTGGACACCCACTAGGGGTCGCCAAAGCTTCACAGTAGCAGAATACGGTAGTATTAAACTGTAGCAACAGCGAGGCTAAGCTAAAGAGCTCTTGGGTTATTTGTGTCAGGAGTTAGAATGTGAATGTCTCTAATATTTGTGGAAATCTGGTCGATTAACGGTGAGAGGAAAGAGAGAAGCTCCTGCCCGACATTACTACACAGACTGATTCCAAGTGTACACCATGCGTAGACAGTCCATGCACAGACAGGTCCATCACAGATGACCACCATTACAGCACTGATGGGGGGGTCAAACACACACCGAGGAGGCATGGAGGAGCGTCATTCCCCTGTCCACATACGGAGACACACACACAGCTTACCGTCTGCGTTAACAGACCACGAGCCGTCTGACGGGTGGGCGAGCCCGGGAGAGACACAACAAGGGTCGGGGGTCAAGAGGTTAAGCTTTAGATATGCTTGACAAAGAGGAGAGCGGGTGGGGAAACAGAGAGTGGTTCATCTTGAATATTTTAGATAGACGTTGTTCCACCGGGCTGTAAAACATGCAGATATCTGAGTGACTGCATTGTGTCTCCAACATGTAAATCACAGAATAGAGAAGCCTGGGCTTACTGTGTCCGTACGGTGCATCTGGAGTCGTTTCAGTGTTTAACATAATAAAATAATCAGACATTGCTCGGATCTTGAGGACAATCTGCTGCTTTTTTTTTTTAGCACAAAAACAAACAGAAACGGAAGTTTTGGTTTTAATTTTCAAAGGAAAAATCTACCTTAAGTTTCTGAAGTATGCTCTGACGCACACCTTAATATATCTCACACTTGGACATAAACACTGAGATAAATGTGTACAGCTTTAAAACTCAGTTCAGGTAAATGAATATTAAAAATAAAACGATATTAGACCTGGACTAAAGATAAGGTAAAAGATTATATTGCAATTATTTTGACAGATATTTGGCGATATGATCCTTGATTCAAAACTGAAAAAGGAATTTTTTGGCATCAGTAGCAAACAAACATGTTTTCTTAAATCTGAGATTTGCCTCTTTTCAGAACTACAGCACTACATTATAATGCTGTTCTGTCACTTGGTTGCGGGATTGTGTAGGAACAATCACGTTGTTTTTAACACACATTTGTATGTTTAAGCTAAACGTTCCTGCAAATACCAACAGATCCACACTCAAGGTAGAGTTATTGACACTTTAAATGTAGTTTTGATTTAGTTTTTTGTTAAATTTATTAATTAATTAATTAATTAACGCCGAGGTAGGAAGATTCATTTGACACTGATGTTTAAAATGTTAATTACCCAGTGAAGCGTAGGATCCGGGGGGAAGGGCCGAGGCCGAGCTGAAGGGCGAAGCCGATGATGACACCGCGGAGGACACGGCGGGCATCCTGGTGCGGGCAGTGGCGGTGGCCGCCGCGTTGACGTCCACATCGCTGCGGGAACGCTGGAGGGAGCCCGGAGAGGAGGCCGCAGCGGGCGTCCTGGTGGGGGCAGCTTTGGCTGGAGGACGTCCAACAGAGAGGAAGTAAGATCAGCACCCAACAACATCATCTCAGCATCTCAGACCAACACGTGAGCGAGTGCTACAGCCGACCAGACTCCAGACTCAAAACTGTCTTTGTTAGTCTCTCCACTAACAACAACTCTTGTTTGGTCAAAATAAATAAAGAAAATAGCCTCTAACAGGCTGCTATGACTGCAATGTAATCCTTGTGGATAAATGCGTAGTATGTCAAAGTACATCCACTAAAAGTTGAGGCTGAGATTGTTATTCTAAGTCTCCAAAGCCAAAAACAGTTATTTAACGTTGCAGATAATTACACTCTTTATCACCAACTCTGGTCTGGTGAAAATGAATCCTTAATTTACTGACGTAGATGAGAAAAAGAGCCGTTTCAGTCGGCCGGAGAAGTAAACAATACAAATGTTCTACCTCTCGTATATACAACCTTTAAATATTTAGCAACGTAGAAATAAATGTCTAGTCTTGATAAATGAAAACAAAATGACAATCAGGGGTTCATAAACTTTGTTCATGCTCAGCAGGTGTTTGGCTTTTTGTCTGCTGACCACCTGCTGAGTTTGCTTTTTTAACATGAACCCCTGAACTGACAGCGTGTGGCGTTTTCTTGCTTCGGGAGGATATTCTACTCAGCTGTATAAACCACTGTAAACCTTCAAACTCATGCATGTTTTATTCAAAGTAGACTTCCTGAATCGTATTTCATCTCTTTGTGCAGCAACAAGCTGCTGGTGATATATAAATACACAGTAAATGAAGTAAAGAACGAAGAGAAGCATCCTTACATCTTGTTGTGTTGCTTCCAAAGGTGTTTTTTCCAGGCGGCGGTCGACTGTGGAGATAAAAATAAAAGAGAAAATTCATTAACTTAGATAAACGTACATCAAAACACCATTAAACCAAAATGGTAGCATGTTCTCTGCTAATGTAAATGTAAATCCTCACACTGCTGCAGAATAACGTCACACAAAAACATCAATACGCAGCTTTTTGGTGAAAGTAAATAAAAAAGAATAGCAAGAATCTGAGCTCAGACAGAGAATATATTAACATGGCTTAAGGTGAAAAAGGAAACTAGACAGTCATGAAATCAGTAGTGTGTGTATTGTTAACAGTGTAAACAAAAACTACTATTCAATAAGGATATTTTTAGATATTTGTGATTATTTAATTGTGGTTTTCACTTCCAGCGGCTCCACTGTATGAAACACTCGTGATATTCTAATGGTGATGTTTTTACCTCACTGCTTTAAGTGTAGCCTCCCACAAACCAATAATACATCTTAATGAGGATTTATCGTTGATTTTATTGCTGCCTCATGGCTGCTCCGTTCTTCCCGTAATACAGTTTAACGTCGGTAATTTAATATTGCACTTCAATAAAGTTGGACGGACTCTTCAGAGACAGATGAAAGATGAAATTGAAGCAGCATTGGTGTCGCTGCACAGACGCCCTGTAGCTGCAGTCCGGATACATTTATTCCCAGAGGAAATGCTGATTATTGTTGGTACTTATGTTTACTGAGTGGAGGCTTTTATTCTTTTAATTCTACCTCATATCAGTGTGTTTTTATTCCTCTGACTTTATAATGTTTTTAATCCTGGTCCTGGCCATGTAAGGGCACTTTTTAGGTTTATAATTATTATTACTTTCACTGTCGCTGTTCACAGACTCGTCCCGCGTGCAGCATTAAACCAGATCACGGTTGCTCACAGAACGATGGAAACATTATTGCCTGATTTCTTGGTTAAAACAACGACTTCTTTCTTGATTAAACTGCATTCAACTAACTACAGGAGTCACATGCACAGTAAAGGTGCAACTGTATAATGAACTGGTTAAAGGAAATTAACATTTCCTGCCATTTTTCAGTTTCACACTGATATAGGCTGATAAAATAACAATTAAAATATTAACAGGCTAAATAGGCCTTATTTTGTTATAGTCCGGCCCCCACAGTGTCTGCTTAGAAATATTTTAGCCTTTGGACAGATGTAGTCGAATACTTCAGCTGTTTGTTTTCTTTGAAATAAAACCCTGCTTATGTTTCCCGATCAATAAAACGATGGATCAGAGAGGAGGCAGCGTCTCACTTGAGGCTCTCCTGGGAGGACGAGGAGGAGCGGTCCGAGGCGGGCAGCGACATCAGGCTGTCTCCGCTCCTCATGTGGGTCTGCAGAGCTTTCTGATAGGACGACTCCACGGCCTGGAAGAGCTGCTCCGCCTCCCGACGGAAGTGACCGTGGAAACTCCAGTAACAGCTGCAACGGAAAGCCAGAGGACCAAAGAAAAAACAACCATCAGGACAATTGTGTCGTCGGTGGAACCTCGTCAAAAATGACAAACCAATTCACACTGAGAAAGATTTCCATTTTTTGACCATTTTATTGCCATTTCTGCATTATGTCATATTTTCTTGAACAGGTAAAGCAGCCTTCTTGAAGAGAGATACAACTTCATCATCAGTAAAACAACGTACACATTTTAAATACATGCATTTAGCAGGAGGAAATATATATAACCCATATAAAATCTCTCCAATCTCTGGAAATGAAGGTTCAGGGTGATCTTACATCTACAAATAACTGCGATATGAGCACATTTACATCAGTAAGGGATTAATTATTTACTCAGTCAGTAGTAAAATGGACGAGTGACACTTACTTTCTGGCCACAGAGCGAGCCTCTGCATCTGCATCATGGATCCCTTTCTTTATAGTCTCCATTAAAACGGTTCCATGTCTACGAGGAGGAAAAGGAGGAAAATGGTTTGTTACCAAAATGTTGTTTTAACAGACCTATATAGGAGGCATAAATGGATTTCATTGTCTTTCATTTTGTAGAATACATTCAACCTAAACAAAAAATGAGATTGCTTGTTCATTTCAGTTTCAAGGTGTTTTAATGACAGGAAAACCCGTCTTTAAAAATCCAGGACATGTGGGAACCTTTGTAATTATGATGGAAACTTTTCTTAGACAACATTCAAGGTAATTGCACCCAAACCTAATGGATACAGTGCTGTGTTTCTCTGTTGAGTTGTCAATCCATGCCATATGATGCATAGCATTAGCATTAGTGTGTATGAGTCAGAAACCATCTGCTCTGCTGTCCATTAGCCGGACTATCACTTTGGGCTTTTACCGCTGCACTGATCAATAAGTTGGAAGGTGTAACAGCTGCTAACACTTTTTTCAATACCTTACTTTGACAAATATAAATATGGTTTTGTATAAAAAAAACAAGCAGCTGTAAAAGAAGTTATAAAATAAAATGCTTGTTGGCTGATGATGCAAACTCCGTTTCTTTAAAATAAAATTGAGTCTGATTTGTATTTGGCTGATGCACAGGACCAGAATCAGTGTCTCACACACACTGATTGACTGATCGATGAGAACCGGAGAGCTCCCCTGGTACTGGGGGGTCAGCTCGGGTTGCTCCATGGCGGCGGCAGGAAGCAGCCAGGCGGAAACACAATGAGGCTTTTGGAGGCAGACAGAGATCCCCCCGGCCTCGCCATGGAAACTGCAGTGACAGACCTTGACCTGGCCGGTGTCACATTTCCAGACAAGGTATTGTGTAGTCCTTTAACCCATTCACAAGCCACTGTCGGCATTTTCTTTTTATGTTTAATGTACAAATACCTGCGTATTCTGATTTATTTTATTACTGGGAAAAAACGTGAGCATGAAAATCTGAATAATATCAAATAAAATAAAATCAGTACACCATATTTTCTAATAAATGTTGGTATCAGCTTGTTTCCTCACCTCTCCAGAGAGCTCGCCTGCCATTCCTGCAGCATCAGGTCCAAGAACTCAAAGCAGCGTCTGAAAAACAGAAAAAATCATTAAAATACGACCACAGAGCATCAATACCATCCACACTTTTCCAAATTTAATTCAAACTCAAAACTTTCCCCTGACTTTCCAATAAATGTAATGAACATACAAATTAAATACATTAAAATCTAAATATATAAATAAAATATACACATACAAAAACAATAGAAAAACAGAAAGAAAGAAATATTAAATAAAAAGTATATAAATATAATTACATAAAAAAACCACCAAAAAAATTAAATACATTAATACAACATAAACATAAAAAAATGTATAGAGAGATATCAATCAACTTAAAAAAAAGGGAAGAATTAAAATAACTACATCAAATAAAAATATATAAATAAAACTAAAATATAAAAACATTAATAAATAAATAAATTAATCAATTAAATTAAAATTAAAATATAAAATAAAAGTAAAAAATAATACAATAAAATTAAAAATGCATATAAAAATGAATAAATAAAACAGAAACATGAACAAAAGAAAATATCGGTCACCTTCTGACAGCCACAGATTTGGAGGTACAGTTGCTGGTGATGATGGGGATGAGACGAGGGTTGTGTGTGTGCTGCGAAACACAAAGAACTGGAGTCAAAACAAGTTTCAATCTAAATAAAATCAAACTCTTTAAACACATTTTCTTTGTTAAAAGAAGCCTGTGAATAAGTTCCCACCATGCAATGTGTAGCCTTCCTCTTCGTCAACAATAAAAATGGTAATTCGTTCAGTCTGACAACAACTGTCCCTTTTTCTTTTTCACATGAAATGTAATTTTCAGCATCAAATCCCATTTTTCTGTGAAATCTTTCCAGTTATAGCTGCGAGCTAACGTCATTATAATGCTGCCTCGTGAACATATTCAGTTCTGGGAATAAATCCGGACAGGAAGTGAGTGAGTGACAGCCTCTTACTTAAATGTCAGCTTTTAAGCTCCCACAGTATCCCAACAAACACAGACATCATCTCAGCAAAGCTGCCACGTACTCTGAGGATGAGGCGGATGACGGCCATGCCGGAGGTGGCCATGACTTTGGCACTGTTGGGGACCAGGTTGAGGAGGATCGGCATGGTGGCCTCCGCCGCGTGGTCGAAGCGACTGCCGAGCACCAACGACAGGTGGCTGGAGACGGGAGAGAGTGAACTGAATGTGTAACAATCAACAGTAGAGAACAACTCATAAACAGTATTACCTGTCAATGTTGTTGTTAGGATCTTTTTATACAGTTATCTGTACTGTGTGTGTGTGTTTAATTTTTAACAATCATATAGACTTAACAGGCTTTGACAAATGCAGTGTTCTTTCCCTCATTGTTCTATCAGCTCTTTGGTTGTTTTCTGATGCAGGACGAGGCTGTTGATCAGACAGTGAAGGCTCTGTCAATATAGTAATATAGTGTTCAATGAATGAGATCTGAGCTTACATCCTCACGAGCCTCTGTGAAGCTTTAACGACCTTGTAGGGAACCACTGTTACAGAGCACTAAAGCATTATATGGGAGTGGATAAAGCACTGTACTATAGAGAGATAAAATGTGACACTAAATGTAACCATTAGGTGATTTTCAGAAAGATGTATTCTCTCACTGTGTTGCAGCCCATTTGAAGGGAGTGTTGTGACCTCCAGATAGTCTTACCCCAGAGTGATGCAGGCCTCTCTCACCACCTGAGAGCGGAGGTCCTTGGCGGACAGTTTGAACGCCGCCTCCATGAGCCGCAGCTGCTGCAGAAACCCATCGAACTCGGCCGCGCCGGCCAGGAGCAGCGAGCGCACCTTCTTCAGCTGGAGGAAACAGGAAACAGCGGTCAAAATAGAGACATTTTCACCCAACCAATTCCTAAACTGAGACAACTGAGAGGTCTTACAGCTGCCACTCTGAGCTCCCAGTCCTTCTTATCGTCTGACAGGACGTCTCGAATCTTCGTCATGGCCTCCTCCACCTCTCGGTTAGAGTAGATCTGGTGAAGGGCAGGAGAAGCATGAAGCAGCAGAGGAGAAAGGGTGGAGTTCTGGCAACATTATGTATTAAGAATACCTTACCTGCACGGTGGGAACATCCTCAAAGGCCTGGATGAAGTCCTCCTCATCCACAGCTCCAGCACCAGGCCCATCCCTCCCTACAGACAGGGTGAGAATGTATTCAATAAATGTACCTTACTTCGTGAACCGATGAAGCGCTACCACTGTAGGAGTTAACAGTCAGGTGGTGACCTGCAGTCTTGGTGCCGGAGGTGGAGGCGGGACGCCGAAATGAACCCATGCTCACCGCCTTCCTACCGGACAACGGGGCTCCTTTGGACGAGGACGAGGAGCGGCCGCCGTCCACAGAGTCATCGTCCTCAAAGTTTTTGTCTGGAGGAGGAAGAGAAAGAGAAGAGGAACTGAGGGCTCTGGTCACATGACTGAACAACGAGTCTTCAGTAAACTCAACCGGCTGAGCGTCCCGGCGATGCGGAGAAGGCAGGCGGACTCTGGCATTTCTGCATTTTCCCTTTTAGCTGACATTCAGACATAACTCACATTCCTGCATCCCCAACGTAACGAGCGAACGGTGGCGAGGAGGGTCACAGACACAATGCCCTGACAATAAACTCAACAATTAGTCCTGTGTTCCCAGGAAGAAGCCAAGTGACCACAGGAGAACAAAATACACATTCTGAGGACAAAACAATGGTTCTCCGAGCACAGTGAGTTTGTGCTATGATTTCAACTCATACTTCAGTCCCCATACGAAGTGTGTTCAGCCAATGAGGATTCTCACATGGTGTAATAAATAAATGACATGTACCTGTTTATTTCAACACTGTTTATGGACCCCAGTATGCAGAAATATTTAAATACATGGGGCAAAAGTAACACATTTATATTGCATGCAAAACACTGCATGGGATTAGCATAAAGTGTCTGCAAAGAGGAGACTCGTGGGTACCCATAGAAAGAGAAGACAAGAAACAACTGACTACCCTTCATAACATTTATCAGCAGTAAAAATGTGTGTGAAAGTATCGTTGCACTGAATCTTTATCAATGTGTGCAAACTGTGCTTCAGTCGATTGTTGGAAATGAAGTTTATCCTCTTCACATTTCTTGTTATGTCGGAACAGTTTAAAGTCACACAACACAAAGAAAATCAACAACTCCTCACAGCTGAGATTCTGGAACTGGTTCGGCTTAGATTTTATGTCAAAATCCATATTTTATTTGTGCCTGCCCCCATTCAACATTTATTTATTAGAAAAAGGTCCTGTACTGAATTCGTATTGCTCAGTAAATAGAAACATAATCTTTTTTTATTTCTGCCAGCAGCTTAAAGAGGCTCAGCCCTGTGGAAACGTCTCTTGTGGTGGACAACTGAGCAGCACATGAGCCCCCCCCTGAGCGCAGGAATCTGCACGGCTAGCAATCAATCCTTTTTCATTATTCAATGTCTCAACACACACACACACACACACACACACACACACACACACACACACACACACACACACACACACACACACACACACACACACACACACACACACACACACACACACACACACACACACACAGCAGGGCATTGAGCCAACACATCAGTCATGTGCCATCAGGTTGCAGTTTTTTCTCCTCGCCACTGAAAGCACGATGCAACAACTCTCAATATCAACGCAAGGTGAGTGTGAAGGAAAGGACACCTGTCACCTGAGGTTTAACATCAACATGATACAACAGGAGGGGAAAAGAGCTCAAAAGGAAATCCCTTTAAAAGATCCAGGATGCACACATTATTTGCTGCTGTGGATTGCACTGCATCCTGTGTGGTCCAATCCCCCTCTGAGGATCAATGAATGTAATCAGATCACAGGCTGGCAAAGAGGGGTATCAGAGTATATCAAAGATCTACTGTGGTGATAAGAATCAATAAAAAAAGCTACATGCAACCTTTCACAAAAAGGAAATAAAGGCCATGTCATCTTCAGCAAACTATAACCTTTCATCCAGTGTAATATCAGATTATTATTTATGACTCTATATGTCAAATTAAAATGGTAATGAGTAGATAATGACCCAGATTTACAGTAGATAATGTTTAAGACACCAATGCCTGTAAGAAAATGTTAAACTACTGCTTAGATATATATATATATTTTTTAACACCAAGATGATTTGAAACAACTCATCAAACAGATTGTTACAACACAGGTGTGTTTAACAAGTTAATGAACAAGTAGTTCTGTGAGTATGAAGCAGAAAGTCTGACAAAGGAAAACTTTGATTATTAAAACGATAAAGGGTCATGAAATCTGCACAGAATTCCCACCCAGACTGCAGACTTTAAAGCTGATATTAAAATTGCTCTTATATACCCTTCAGCAAGAATAACATGTGCCACAAACAATAAAGACAAACTGTTCATCATATGTTCATCAACTCAGCCAGAACAGGCCACAAAATCAAAATCATAAAGTTTAAATTGAACCTTCCTATCCTCAGTGTCCATACATCAACTCAACAGGTCAGTACATGAATGAGCAGGAAAGTTCATTACTAGTCTATTTTAGTTCAAACTAATTCTCAGTTTCTCTTCAACTCCACAGCACACAGACTCCGTCCGGTTTTCTCCGGCTTCCTGACCTTAACTTTGCTCAGAGACAGACAACCTGCATGCGCTGTCTACACAACAACTCGGCTGCGGGCAGGCCAAGAAACCATCCAGCTGCGTTTACATGCCAGACACCGCAGACGCCTTCCTCCTGGATTTACAGCCGTCGTCACACCAGGCATCCTCCCCCCCTCCTCATCCTCCTCCTGTTGCCTGCATCCATCACTGATTACAACCTCCACCATGAGCTCAAACCTTCCCTGCATCCAGAGGAAGAGCAGTAGCTTACAGGAGCAAATCCGCCTGCAGACCAGTTTCCTCAGCATGCCGGCACACACACAGACGGACAGACAGACAGACAGTCAGGTGGTCCTCCAGTCCTCTGTGGTCCTCACATCTTTTCCCACTGCTGAGGAGAGAGAAGAGGGGAGGAAGGAGGGGAGTCCAGCCGCGAACCCCCTCCCTCCCCTGTCAGGGAGCATGTGTCTCAATACGCTCTTCCTCTCCGCCTTCGTCCTCTAGTTCACTTCAGCAAACGCACGCTTGCAGGACCAGGATGGAGGAAGAGGAAGGGAGGGGATGGAGACAAGTGATGAAGGAAAGGAGGAGGGAGGGAGGGGGCAATGGGCAGACCAATGGGAGGAGAAGGGAGGGGTCGGTCAGGGGACAAACCCCGGTGCTCGGTCTGGAGGCGGAGCTGGTGGGCGGAGTCACAATTGAGGGACAGCTCAGCGTCATCATGACTCAGGAGGACGGGGAGGAGGGAGAGAGGGGAGGGAGGGATGGAGAGACACCTCTCCAGAGGAAGCAGCTCCTCTGACGGCGTTAGTGTCAGACCTAGAGCCTCCACCTGAGTGCATCCGTCAGCCTGCAGCAGCTGGAGTGTTTTATCACAGTAACACTGAGGCAAAAGCTTCTGCTACTACACCGTTAGATGTGTCTCACATTTCAGCTTCTATTCATTTTAATGGGATTTATGTAAGGGGGCGGAGGTGGTTGAGTTATCTGTGAGCTTCACTTAAGTTTAATAAATATACTGTTTTGCTGTCATCTATACTAATTAAACACAAAATAACTTTTAAGCAAACAAATGTGTTATTTCTTCTTCTTTTATTTTTATATAAATCCTTTTGTGTCTCTAACTTTGGAGCTCATACCTGAGCGTCAGTACTGATACCTATATACGCTAAACCAAAGTCAGAGCAGTCAAACAACTGAACATGAATAAATGTTATTATGATTTGAATCAGTAAATATCAGAGATTAACTGGCCTTCAATGCGACATTATCGACCCGATGTCTGAGTTTCGCGGCGAGCGTAGTACGCGCTTGGAAGGCTGAGCTATATTCAAATGGTTGCAATCTGCATCCTCACTGCTAGATGCCACTAAATCCTTCACACTGGTCCTTTCAGAGTCATTTCTGCCAGTCACCTTCCAACAACCTGCACAGCTACGTCAACCATTCGTAAACCTACTTATAAAGCTCTGATTGGGTCGGTTGTTCAATAAACAGTCTGGAATGAGGCACAGATAAGAAGAAGACTGACTGTCAGCAATATCTAAGTGTTACATTGATGGTAGAAACCCCAAAGAGCTTCCTCACAGTCAGTCTGCTTCATTTGACTTTTAAATGCACCTTCATGACCAGCAGCAGCTCTGAGTGCAAACAGTGTCCCTGCTTTTAACCTCCAGCTGAACCGTCAACGTCAAGACATTCATCATTCATCACATTTCATCTCCAACCTCACCTCTGGATATTAATGCTGATGACATGTCAGAGACATACAGGACAGCACGTGCTTACAAACATATAATCATATAAGCTCCAGTTTTAAGTGTAATACAGTTGATCCTACCAACAGACATTCCAGGACAACATTCATTAAAATGACCAAATATCCATGAAAACTAGTCTCTCAAGTTCCAGGTTTTCCAGGACCCTGAAACAGGCAGTGTGAGAGTCCCTACTGACATCCACTGAGAGGGAATCTCTCTCCATGAGATGGCGCTGTGAGCCTGTTTTAGTGTTTACCTTCACAGGTTCAGCCATTTCACAGGTTCCATTCATTGTTGACTGTATACAGGTGGGGGGAAAGACAGACAGACAGGACATACAGAAGCTGAATACAAAGCAGCAACTGATGATATCAAAGAACAAAAGAGATAGACAAAGCCTCCAAGATCCACATTTGTAAAGACATTTGTTCCTGAAGTGAACAGTATGTGTTCAGTCTTGAAAGGTACCCGTGTGAGATTCTAACTTTAGTTTACCTCACAGAGGTTAATGTTGGAAGATCTGTCCCTGAAGTGACTGATAGTGAATGAAAACACAGAACAACGTATGTTTCCTTAGAACCATTCACTGCGGAGGTCAATGGCTCCTAGGCTTTAATGTAAATGATCCCAGTGAGAAGAACGTCGGCCTCAGGAGTCCATTTGTTCGACGTCTGAGGGGACGCACCACACCTTGACCTCCATAAAGGTCTCTATGTTTTAGGGTGGGGAAAGTTATTCTTATATCTATGTATCTGACTCATTTAGAGCTGAAACAATCGGTTGATTAATCCATAAACTGAACTGATATTAGCCGTCCATACACTGATAATGTCTGACTGGTTCCAGCTTCTCAAACGTTTATGGTTTCAGATTTTCAAAATCTATAATTCTATTATAAACAAAAAAGCAAACTGACAAACTTTTAACTTAAAGGAGTTTAGAATTACACCAAGAAAATTAAGACTTTTAAAAAAACGGTCAAAAACGAAGCCGCAGAAGCCGACATTTTCTAGCCTCCAGTGCAGCTCGAACTCTAGCAACACTGGATCCTACATTTCCCATAATGCACCTCAATAGCCTGCTTACATTTTCTCAGCCTTCGTGAAGCTCCTCCAGAGTCATGGAAGACATCACGCAAGTAGCGCTCGAGTACATTGTGTTTGACGTGAAATTCAACCTTCACAATAACAACTGCTCAGATCAGACAGATAATGACAACATCTAACAACTGCTGGGAGTAATTGTGCGCCTCCTCTGAAAGCCAGGTCACAAGCTTTTCCTCCTGGCAGCGTCTCAAAGTCTTTGGGAGCTTCGAGCCTGATGGAGTCTGACAGCTGATCCCCCCGATGCAAATTCACAAAATGACCGGGGGAGAGGTGAGGCGCTCAGGAGTGCGTTGCGTCACTGAAGAAAAGAAGAAACAAGGGAGCGTGGGAGCTCACAGCAGGTGATCTGAGAGAGATCAAATCAACCTCTGCAGATTCATCAAGTCTTTCTCTACCTGCAGCTCCACTCACACAAATGAAACACAGAAGCTTGTTTTATTCGCTTCCTGCCGCCCTCAAAGCTGACAATAACATCCAATAATAATGCAGCCGCAGCTCGAAGGTGAGCTCCGACCTGCGGACGTGAGACGCCGTTCAGCCTTTTCATTGCTGAATGAATGAAGCGGGAAACACCCAACCGGCCATTCTCCCGCACATGACAACCAGCTGGAACAACAGTGGGAGTGACGTTCCCACACAATTATCAGGCTTCGTTCGCAGCTTTCTCACCAGATTAAAACGCATTCATCCACAAGCAGGAGTCTGGAGTTACAGTCAGTGCTGAGTATTCTGTGTTTAGATGCACACAAAGTTAGGAGCGGTTGGAGTTAGTCGTTCTTTCCCCACTAAGCCACTGGGAGTCTGAGTCACAGTTTTTATGAGTCAAAGTGATCAACAGTGTGCAGGATCAGGTCAGAGCCACTACGAGCATATATACCCGTGCATGGGTGCGTTTGTGTTGCTCTGCCCCTCATTAACCGACATATTTTACATATAGTATAATCTATTATTTTCCTCTGTGAATCCTGTAATTTTTTTTCAACAATTCTGTCTGTATTGTGTATTTTTATCATTTTTAACAATCATACAGGATTCTTTTTTGACAAATTCAGTCTTTCCTTGTCCCTAACGCTCGGCCATTGTTCTATTGGACAACTGACTTCACAGAAATGAACCAAATGCTGAGATATAGGCCCACTGTGTATATTTTTAAGTTTTCTTACGCCCCTTTAAAATCAAGAAGGCCTTGTGACACCCTATGAAGCTTTGGCGACCCCTACTGGGGGTCCCGACCCTCAGGTTGCAAACTAGTGCGGTGGGGCAGAAGTATAAATCAGGCTGTAGTGTCTCAGAGGGAGGAACGAAAACCAACTTTCTGCCTCTTTCCCTTAGATTTCAACGGGACATTGCATTAGTTAGGGCTGTTTTAAGACATGTTATTGTTTACTTGTTAGGTTTTTAGGGTCAATCGGTCTCTGTTCCTGTTAGGACTAAAGCTTTTCCTGTTTGGTATCCTTCAGTTTCTGTGGAGAGGAGTTTTCCTGTTTTGTTGTGAGTGGCGTCTTGTATCTGTGCAGAGACGAGTGATCAGTGTAGAACTGCTGTAGCGGGAAGCTTTTGGTTAACACAGCTTTAAACTGTATCTCTGTATATGTGACGGGTGTGTCAGAGTCCAGCCGAATCTGCACACTTATCTAAATCAACTGCATAAAATAATAAGCGTTAAATAAAGCAGGAAGTGAGTCTTTGTGCAGACGTTTTCACTTTTTAGCCTTTCATCAGTGCTAAAAGAAATCTCTACGTTTACAGGTTTCTTCACGTTTATTTTACAGATTTTAAATACTTATAAATATTAAGAAAATGGGTGAAAATTTCCTTTTTCCACATATAAAGTTCAAATACATTTGCTAATATATAATCTATTTATTTTACAGTATTCTCCTGCCGACCCAGCTGCTGGTAATTACTGTTCTTTTGCTTTTTGTTTTACAGTGTACCACGGTGCCCTGTCTTTCTGTCCCTACACTGTCTTCATTATTCAGGAGGTTTCCAACCGTGCAACCCAAGTCCTGCTGGCAGCGAGTACCTGGCCTCGTCTCTCAGCGCCTCCCTGCAGGACCTCCTGAGTCTGTGTGACGCACGCAGCCAGGTCCCTGTTTATCAAAACCCCCAGAGCTGGATTCAGAGCCCCCAATAACATCGAGAGTGTCAGAGTTCATTCCTGAGCCTGTAAATAGCAGTTTGACGAAACAATCTTAACTCAAGGTCCACTTACTTGCCTTACCGAGCGCTTTCAACCACATTCCTGAGTACACACAGTAGTAATGATTACGGGACCAGACCTTCAGTTCCATGACGAGGACGAAGCCAACAACTTTGTTCACAGAAGAAGACGGCAAGGTGCGTTGAAAGCTCAGGAAGAATCTAGTAAGTGGAGCTTGAGTTCAGATTATAGTATGTCAGAAGCAGTTGGTTTGTTTTCCTGCCATTGCTGCACTTACAAACTCAAAATGAGATTTTTTTAAAGGAATTTCCAACATTTTAAACTTGCTGCTATAGCAACCATCTTTAGGACAACCGTCCCTTTATTTGGGTTTTTGCTTTAGATCAGATTGTTGTGTGTAATTATGTCATCTTGGGTTCAAGTCCTGTATTAGACACATGTTACATTTACATTTACATGTAACATCACACAGATCCCAACAAGCAAGAAAATAACATAATTAGCATTTTCTATAAACTGAAGTTCAGCTGAATTATGCTACTTGGTTCGTACAAAAACTGATGATTCATATTGTTCATAAACTCACCGGTTTGAGCTCCTCAAATGTGAATATTTGCTGGCTTTCTGCTTCCTCTATGACATTGAATTGAATAACTTTAGTTTTTGACTGCTGGTTGGACAAAACAAGCCATTTAAAAATATCAACTTGGGCTCTAAGAAAGTTAGAGAAAGTGAATTGTTACTGAAAATAAGCAGCCCTGGTTTGAACAAGTGACGCAAACCGAATAGTGGAGATATTGTTCAAACACCTTCAGGCTGGTTGTCTTTAATGAAAGTATTTCTGGGTGTTTGTTTCATTTCTTTAATTTTGTTTACATTTAGAAATAAGAGGAAATTGCAAAATTGCAAAATTGCTACTTTCACTACAAAGACTACATACACGGGTCAACTTCTGTGTTAGCTACTTGTATGAACTTACTTTTGAAGTGCTCAAGTAGCGTACAGAGAGACAACATCCCCCCAATTTCAGCAGCCCTTCACTGGTTTTCTTGTCCACTGTATACTTTTATTATTACCTCTAAGTCAAGAAAAGTGCGACACAAATAAAGTTCTTGTTATCATTAATGTTATTTTGGACCAGAATTATTTAAAATCTCCTTTGTGAAACGGAGCTAGCTGAAAATAAGCCTGAATATTTCATCATGACAGCAGACAAAATACCAGCAACACTGACAAGAACATAGGTGGAAGTTTCCTCAATGTTTTTCTACCAAAATAACCTGAATTATCTAAATATTTTAGAGTCAGTCGTGTAGAAGATGATATAACATGGAGAGCAGCAGGATTATACACATCACTGAGCTTCAGTTACTTGTGGCATTCAGATCCCAATTATGATCCCAGTGCAATTACAAAGGCTTACGAGCACAAAGAGTCGGGTGATACACAGTTTCTACGTCAACTAGACAGACAGCCAAATATTCTCTCTGTTCACCTTGCAGATTTTTACCTTGAATTAAAGATGTACTTCTTGTAGGTGAAGAATTGACCTGCTGCTTGGCTTTGCGAGGCGATACCCTCCCCTGTGGATCTACTGGAGGAGAAACAGTGTCGTCCTGACAGCGACCCAGAGCTGATGCACTGCTGCCTGCCTCCTCCCTTCCCCTCCAACCCGGTCTTGTGACTGTAGGGACGACAGCTGACACCACTCCTACAAAATAAGAGCCCTGGGCTGCCGGTAAAGAGGCGGCTCTTTCATTTTCTTAATCTCTCTCCTTGAGTCTCAGTTCTGCAGTTTGCTTATGTTGTCCATGTGTTGCAGACTCTTTTCCTTTGTCTTCCTGTCTCTTAGTTTATCATTCTCTCTCTGTGTGTCCTAATGTAGTTTCAGTTTCTTATGCCATCTTCTGATTCTAAGCTTTTTTCCACAAGTCTCAGTCTATTTCAGGTCAGTGTGATGCTTCCCACTCGCCTGCTCAGGTGACATTCACAGCTCTGTCAGCTGTCAGTGACTGCTGGTGCATTCAAAGGCTGCTTTAACTGTTTCTTTCTCTGGTTTTTAACCTGCATGCAGACACACGATCTGAGGCAAACTGAGCTTAACTGCACTAAAGATGATGCAATGAACACGCTGTGGAAAAACGCGATGTCAATTGCTACCACAGAAATGAGTCGGCCAGTAATCTCACCATCGGGCCATGTGACTGTGTGAGCAATCATTTGTCAAGTCCGATGACTTTGAGCTACTTTTAATGGAAAATGCAAAACTTCCTGCTGTTTCACATTAAAAGCTTTTAACCTGTGAACTACTTGAATGGTTTAATTGCGAAAAGGTCACATAAGGACATGATACAAAACCGCAAGGAGATCCTGCTGAAGCTCCTCCCTTCCTGCCAGATTATCTACGTGACAAATTCATGTTTCCTCAAAGAAAGGTGGTGTTGCCCTAAAGCATACCCTGCTTTATGGTCTGTTTTACTCTAAATGGGACCATCAGTTACTGAATGAACATCATGCTGTATGGAAGAAGACTGAAACTAGAAACTGAGACCAGAAACTCATCAGGAAACTGTTTACTGAGCTCATAAATCAACTGAGAAGTCGGCTCATTTTTCCGTAAGACTTCTTTTTTTGCAGTCTGTGGAGCTGCCCCCTGCTGGCCATGAGAAAGAATGCAGGTGGAAGCTCTGTCCACTAATGCGTGCTCCTTGCTGCTTTTCACTCCATTTAAACCTTTCTGTCCCACTTCTGCGGGGTCACTTTTCCTCGCCTCTCGGAGCACAAAGAAAACCAGCTCGGGTTGCACTCTGACTGAAAGACGGCGAACACACCCCGCTGAGCCCGGTGGAAACAGGTCAAAGGCTTCCCAGCTAAACCTGCTCACTGTGACTGATGGACCGAGATATCCACCCAGGCCACGTTTGGTACTTTGCAATCTTAAACTGATTTATACCACTCAAACCCAGAGGACCCAAAGTTATAAACGAGCAATTCTGTAATTAGTAGGTACAAAAGGCGTGGACAGGGTTGTTGTTCAGTGAGTTAACAAGTGGCTGACTATGAGAGAGTTTTTTGGAGTCGGGTAGGTGTACAAATAAATAAATGTGGTGCAGATTTGGAAGTTTTATCAGTGTCACATGTTGGAGTCCGCAGGCCGCTCTCAACAACAAACAATGCAACGCCACACAAAAACAAAACGACGCTGCCATGACAACCAGATTGGGTTGATGGGCCATATATACGCAAGAAAAACTAATCTCATAACGCTCCAAGAGTGCATGAAGAAGAGCGAGACACAGAGCAGAGCAGGAGACGTGAGCTTACCTGACACAGGTGACAGGACCATGTTCCCTGACCTTTGAACTTCGTCAAATTTGCTGAAGATGACGTTCAGCCTGGACAGAGGGGGAACAGGGAATTAGCACCACATTCACAGCAGAATGCAAACTGCTGCTCCTCTGAAAAACTGAAAACTGGCTCATTTTAGATTCCCCAGAGAGCAGCTAAATAGGCCAAAGTAACATCTCATCGCCCGCAGTCTCCCAATCCAAAAATACACAGGCAACGGTAATGGCTGTGAAGGCCTGCTGGGTAATATTATTAGAACAAACACTAATGATCATAATGTAACACCAGCAACGGGTGACATCTGTTGACTCTTTGGGAGAAACCAACCGTCATTTCAAAAGTGTCATGATTTTCTACTTATAAAACGTGAATAAATAAATCAAATCAAAGCGAGTTCTACTGACTGAAAAGGTGTGTAGCTTATGAACACATCCCTTTATATTAACACACAGAAAACACACCTGTATGTAGCATGTGGCAGTTTCTAAATGCCCATACTGTACATAAATACTGAAAATAATTGTTAGCTGGAGTCAAGCCGAGTCCTCCACTTTATAGGTTACTCGTGAGTTTTCACAGTGAGCGCCTGAACGCACCGCGACTGAGGCAGACCCTTCTTTCCCAGGTCCATTCGCACTCGTTCTCCGACGTGGCGGTAGATCTCTACGAGGCAGTTCATGGCTCCATCACGCACCTGCAGGTCGACAACAACAACAAAAACAATAAATGAACACAAATACAGCTACTTTAGCTCTGCGATGTGTGTTAACATCACATTTTATCACTTATCACGATACTTTTCAATAAACTTACTTAAATATTTAAAGAGACAGTGCACCCCAAAATCAGCAATACATCATTTTCTGTACGTCTGAATTTGGGGTGAACTGTGAAACTCGCCGAGGACTTCACTTTAATTATTCAATAATTAAAGGGAATAACAATTAATTATTCACTATGACAGCAGAGGAGTGCTTCTCTTCTAAAAATTCTAAATGTACATTAAATAATATTATTTCCTATTTAATCATTACTTATTATTTAATTTGCGGTATTTTTTCTTTTTACCAATTCTGTTTTTGATATCGCTCTTAATTTGTTAGGAGGTCCACTTTACACCTACAGCTTCCTCTGACAGTAGTATTTGTTGGAGCTGCCTCCAGTCGCCACCACCTGTTGGTACACTTCCAACCGGTCTCTCCTTCCCCCAAACAAACACAAGTGCAGATAAAACAAGACTTAAGTAGTTCCTCCAGAACCCACTCCTCATCTTAGTGACGATGGTCCATAATGCAGTGCTTCAGTGCGAGCGTGTTTGGCTTCAGGAAGGGAAGTTCATGGGCACGGCTTCCTGTCCTCAAGAGGAAGTGTGGTTCCGGTGATGATGGACCTCTGCAGCCAATCAGGAGACAACAGACTTAAAGGCAGAGCACAGCGAGGAGACGAGGGGTCTGGTGGTTAGAGAGGAGACCCCCAGGGCCCCGAGGTCACAGGTTTGATCCCTGTAGTATCGTGTGTGTATAAACTCTGGCTCTATGTTCTATATGTAGTTGAGTTCTTCCATTATCCCAAATGTTTCCAACAATGTTCAAACTCAGAGAAATCTGTCATTGTATTCAGGTAACGCTGCGTTTCACCGGTCGCCTGTCGATGGCGCCATATCCCCTTTGTGCCTGCGTCAGCGTTGTGGTTGTCTGCCAGAAGCTGTCATACACTGACTGTTGATCCAGTCTGAAGCCACATTGTTACCATCCACTGTTTAGATCTTGCTTCTCCCAGCGTGGGAGAAGCAGTGATTTTTAAGGTGGAACTGCTTTATTCAGTGTGTTTAAGGTGGAACTGCTTTATTCAGTGTGTTTAAGGTGGAACTGCTTTATTCAGTGTGTTTAAGGTGGAACTGCTTTATTCAGTGTGTTTAAGGTGGAACTGCTTTATTCAGTGTGTTTAGTGGTTTTAATCAGCGGGTCTGTTTGTGTTGGAGAGGAGGAGACCTCTGTGGATCATTGGGCTCCCGGTAGAAACCTCCTGAACCATGAACACTGAAGGAATCCTAACCGGGAGAAGCTGACTGCAATGACGCCAATGGTGGTGAAGACAACAACTCCCATGATCCCACACTGCTTCACCACCTCATTAAACTTCCTCTTTTGTTCCTGTTTTGATGTGAGAAACCTCCTCGTGGCAGAAATTACATATAGTATGTTTAACAACAGGTAAAGAGAGAACATGTGAGTGATCAGAGGTCCTGGTTTGTGGTCTGAGCTGTAATTCTTGTATCTGACCAGCAGAGGGCAGTCAAAGACCAACAATAGGGCTGTTCTGGCCCCGTCCACATACTAACGTCCAGGTAGGAAGCAGCAGGTTGTACCTGACTCGTGGGATCTCCGAGGAGGTTACAGATGTGAGGGACGATTTTACTGAGCGTCAGACTCTGAGATCCAAACCTGAAAGAACAAAATGTAACAGAACATGAACCTTCTCATAAAAACAACGCTGTTACTGATAATAACATTTGATAAAAAGCACCCATAATGTAGAAGATTAAATCTTACACGTTCAGGGTTGAGATGAGACAAAGGCAGAGTCCTTCTCTGGTCCTGTTGTTCTTGTGCTTGAAGCCTCCCATCATTCGCTCCCACACATACTGAAAAGACATCAGTGCACAAAGAAGAAGCACATTTACACGCATTCAGTCAACGTCTGTCAGTGTGTCTGTATGCCGACACACTGTCTGAATTTAGTAAATCCCAACAGATTATATGTGATTGTTAAAAGATGGCTTTGATGCTTTTTTAACACTAGATTCCACCTAGATGGGAAAAAGTGAAATCAGACACTTGTAGAAACTGTAAATTACGTCACATGTCCAAAAACCATATAAACTTATTGGCATACTGCATATTAAGACGGTAATAAAAGACTTTTTGCTGCATTTAGTTTCCCTTGCTCAACAAGCTAGTAGAACAGTAATAAAGAATAGAATTGAAAATATAAATATATGCTGCCCTTTTTATTTTTATTTGAGTTTTGGACATTTAAGGTTGCCGTAGCTGCCGTGGATGTCAAGTAAAACCCCCTAACGTGTGCTTCCTGTGCACCTGTGGGTTGGCAGCCTGGTCCATGACCTTCAGCAGCAGCGCTTGGTCCTGGTCTCGAACTTGGTCCTTGGCGTCTCCTAACCGATCGATCAGACTCGGCAGAACTGAGCGGACACAGACAACAGAAGTTACTACAATGATTCCAGCACCTCTTTATACTTTTAATATTATATTATATACAGTCTCCTTTCATTTCATTTACATATTTATTCATTTGATCTGCTTTGTATTTATTTATATATATATATAATATACATAAAACCAATAATCCTATCTTATTAATACACACATATATATATATATATATATATATATATAAAAAGATAAGGTTGACTCCTTTATTGATCACTTAAATAAAAATAAAATAGAAAAATACAACAGAAATAGGAAATTATTTAATTTTAATCAATTATTTTATTTATTAGTTATTTGTACACTTTGCTAAATTCAAATGTAAATACAAGTAGAAGCAGAACTACATTTAAATGTTGTATATTGATTTATCATAGACTGTAGCTTTAGATACTTTTAAATGCACAATGAAAACTTTATATAAATCTATTTTAGCTAATACTTATTCTAATGAATAAAGCAGGATTGTTCTATCATTGTTTTATTTTGTACAACAGCTATATGCCAGGCTCTAATTTAAAGACCCTGTATTTTATTTCATCTATTTTGACTTAGAAATGATTATTATTAGTTATACATACATTTATTAATTAATAAAACAGGATTGTTGATTTATATACTGTTCAACAGCTGTAATTTTAAAAACCCTATATTTAATTATATCTATTAGAAATTACTTTATTTTAATTAATGAATTATTTTAATTATTAATTAATGACTATTTGAGTTATATTTACACTCTATACCGTTTATATACTGTACTCTGCTTTATGTGCTGCTCTAATTTAAATTTATTTTCTTTATTTTGACTTATTATTATTATTAATTTATTATTATTTTAATGAATTCAGTTCAATTATTATTAGTTACATGTGCGCTGCATATAGAAATAACTGTTTTAATAACGTGAGCAGCTCACCCGTCCCAACCTGCGTCCTGAACCTCTCCTGCAGTCTGCTGACCAGAGCCGACAGAATGTCCATCCCCAGCAAAACCACCTGACACACAAACACAAACAACAAACAAACAACAAACAAACAAGACAACAACAAACATGAGCAATACAGGCGGATTAAACACATCAGAATCTCTCAAAATCCAAGACAGAAGAGACAAACGACAACGTCAACGTGAGAGCAGCACCAGAGCAGGGGATTTGAATCTGAGCTGCAAAGGATTATGGGTAATTCCACAAGGGTTTTTCATTAAAAACAAGTGAAGAGAACGAAAATGAACGGGTTTTTTGCAGATAAACTCCAATATAAGAAGTAAATCTCTCATTCAGTGAGGTCAAACGGAGAAGTCAAACGCAACCATGACTGAAGAGAGTGTGAACATGTGACAAACAGCCTGCGACCGACCGCCCGGCAGCTTTCCTTGTCATGGGGTGGTTTGGGAAACTCAATGAACGTTTAGTGAGAGTTCCCCTGCTGACACCATAGTCAACACATACGCACCGCCTGAGCCCCCACGCTCAGACTCTGGTGCAATTTTTGGAAACTCTCTTATTGAGAGAGAGAAAGACGAAACGCAACAACAACATGTGGCTCCAGGTCTGGTGCTATCTGCTGGACAGACAGCGGTACTACACCCACACTGCTTTACACAAGACATTATTATTAGTATTATTATTAGTATTATTATTATGCACTAAATATATGGTTAATAATAACTAAGGTGTAATTTAATCACAGACAAATTATCAAATGAAATATCCGTATCTGGGAGTCAGTAACAAACTGACTCTAACGTTCACTCCTGTATGTAACAGTCTGAATGTGGCTACCCAGGAATACTGCGAGTTATTGTTTAGAGACCTTCGAAATATTCTGTCTTCATATTTATTCTCAGTAAAGCTGAAAAAGTTTATTAATCAGCTTCATCAATCAACAGAAAATATATTTTCCTCTGGTTCTAGTTTCTGAAATGTGAGTGTTTGCTGCTTTTCTCTGTTTTATGGAACTTTAAACTTTTACAATATTAAAATAATCTACAATATTTTAATAGTTCATAAATCAAATAAGAGATATATATATATATATATATATATATATATAAATAAATATAGGGAATTTACATGGCAGTTAATGTCGTCCTAAAAAGGTGAATAAACAACAACAACAGCCTCTGCCATTAAGCTGACTCACTCCTCTCCGATCGATTAACAGGAGCTATTATCGTTCACACACACACAACATCTGAAGGGTTTTACTACCACCAGTACACACACACACACACACACACACACACACACACACACACACACACACACACACACACACACCGCTGGCAGGAAGCTGACCCGCGCTGTGAAACTCGGTCACAGAGGGAAGGAAACTGGGTTAATGGTGCTGGTAAATTAAGCTCACAGCCACCGCTGCCGCTGCCACGCTCGCCTGGGAGCCTCGTCCCCATTACGGGGCCCGCAGACATCGACGAGTACGGAGGAGGAGGAGGAGGAGGAGGAGGAAGAGGAGGAGGAGGAGGAGGAGGAGGAGGCTGCGTTTCCAGGGAACAACAGGAAGCAGCGATATCATTGTGTGTACAGTGCGTAGTGTCGATGAGCAGCTCCATCCTTTGTGTGTGAAAAAGGAGCTTCACACCAAACTCCAGAGACAATTTGGGCCTTTTAGTGCAGCCCGTCCTGACACAGCTCGACTTCAAAATCTTTTCCCAAACAATCGTAGATGTTCCAGAGCTTCATTGTGAGCGAAGTCAAAGAGACCGCGCATACAAACGGAGCCGTATACCGGCAGACACGGGCTACAACTCCAGGACAGGATCTGTGTGAATGAAGGGCTCCCTGAGGAGACCTGCAGGAATAATAACACCCTCTTTATTTAGTGAGCGTGGTTTTGAACAGACTCTCACCTTGAAGTTGCTGGAGTTGACCCAGGAGCTGGCCACTGCGTCCACCATCCTGTCCAGCATGCTCTGGTCCTGCTCCAGCTCAGGGGACTTCTCCTCGTCCACGATGAGCTCTGTGATCTCCTGGCCCACCTGGAGCCTCTTTCCCAGGTCCTTCTGCATCACCTGCTCCAGCAGATACTCCACGCTCACCCCCCCGTCCTCCATGGCTGCAGCTGCCCGGGCTGCGACAGGAAACTCAAGGCACCAGCGGACTCCCAGCCGGATCTTCTCCTCTCCTTTTAAACGTCGCTGTTTCCAGGAGCTGCTGCAGGAGACCAGGTGTTCTCTTTAAGAGGCAGCTAACGTCGGCCGATGAGCAGAGAGGAGCAGCAGAACATCGGGCGGTGGAGGACTACAGCGGACACAGCACCTCATCCTCCAGAGCTGGAACCAGAGAGAGAGAGAGAGAGAGCCACCGATCAATGACACTGATCACCTCCACCGATCAATGACACTGATCACCTCCACCGATCAATGACACTGATCACCTCCGTTATCACAGAATGTGCTGTGAATCTCTCCAACACACACAGAGAGAATAAAACATACAGAGAGTGGAAACATCAATCTGATCACTTTCCTCTTCTGATACCTGATGTATTGATTACTGTAGTATTAGTTATTTAACATGTATTTCATTGTAAAGCTTTAATGTTGCTCACTCTGTCGACCTCTGCCTGCTCTAAAGCTTTACAGTTGCTCACTCTGTCGACCTCTGCCTGCTCTAAAGCTCCAGTACAGAGTGTTTGAGCTCCTGCAGGTTAAATGTCAAACACAGTTTATGGAGCTGTTAGCTTCCCCTGCTAGCACACTAGCCTCGCTCCTAGCTCGCGTTTATCTTAGTGAACGGGGAAGCTACGGAAGCCTGAACGTCACTCACCTGTTTCCAGCGGGTTAATTAACGACTCATTGATCCGGTGACCGGTTGGAGCTCACCGGATGAACCGAATCGCTCCCTGGAAAAAAAAAAAAGTCAAGAAGTGGCGATGCTACCTCCTCCTGCCTCCTCTTCTTCTTCTTCGAGTTTTAATGGCGGTTGGAAGACCAGCTCAGTGGCGCAGTGGCGCCCCCTGCTGGACTGGAGGAGAGCGGCAGGACACTCAAACATAAACAACAACAACAAACTAAATTCTCTCAGTTATTTTTAAATAATTAATCAAACGATTACACCATTTCTTTCTACAATGTTATATTATTAATTATTATTATGAATTTCCTCCTTTCTGGATCAGATCTGCTGCAGTGTGTTTAAATGTGTGTGAGAATTTAGTTATTTTGGGGTTTTTTCTTTTCTTTTTTGTTTCATTTAAAATATGTTTTAATTAAAAAATTATATTTTAAATTAAATTATAAAGTTACTTTAACTTTACTGTAATAAATACTTACTTTTATTCCATATGTTACTGTTACAGTATATTTTTGTATATTTTGCATCAAAAGAAACTGCTGTATAAATAAAGGATTTGCCATGAGACATGCTGATGTTTTATGTAACCATTGACAGTATGTATAATAGACTGACCTCTCGGGTCTGAAAAGTGTCTTAAACCTTTACATTCTCTGTAATGGTCAGCAGGGGGCGCTCCACTGGCTATTGCTGAAATGTAAGAGGAATTAGTTTTAGCATTTTCTGAATTTAAAGCATGGGATTGGAGGAGAAAGGTGACATATTCTATATGAACTATAGACTGTTGGTCTATGAACTGATCCAATAAACAGCTGATCGCTCTGATGGATGCACACACTGTGTTTATCTTTGTGTTTGTGTTGTATTTCTGAGGTAGGATATCTTTTGCAGTGTTATTTGTGGGAGGTTTATGTTTGTTAATGTGTTTCGCTGTTAGCAGGAATGTTTGCTTTGTTCTCTTTTCTCTTAAACATCTCAAAAAATGTTTGGAAATTACAAAAACAGCAGTGACACAAGGTGCAACATGCAGATTGTGATTACTACCCAACCCTGGGAGAGGAGGGCTGGATGAGTGGGTGGGCTCTCTGTCAGCTGCAGCTGGTCCATTACAGACTGTTGGTGTCAGTGTCAAGAGGTCTCATTTTCCTGTCTGGAGCAGGTCATGTCCCACCTGGCTCTGGGATGACTACAAAAATCATTCATTTCATGCTGAACGGGAGGCTGGAGCAAGCGGAGTTTGGAGCCGACTGCTCTGCTGCAGATATCAAAGGTAGGAGGGGGGGGGCTGTAGTTTGTGATTTTAGAGACATAATCATAATGTGAATGAGTAATGCCACAACCACTCATTCATTTGAACATTCAATTTAAGCACACATAAAGGTGTGAACCAGGAGTTGTATGAGCGACAGGGCGTGTATCACAGTAGTGTCAGACAATTTCATGGTCACGAATGTTCCCGTGGCGTCTGTGTTAGGGCCTTACCTCCATGTGGCTTTGACAGGTCCTCAGGTTAAAGGACCTCTTTGCCATTGTCCTCTTGAGATGGTGATAAATAAACCATGTGACAACTGGGCCCTTGACCTCTGAAGACAACGATAATAAGAATACAGGTTGAATGAAGGATTTTGTAAACTAGAGGGTACATCTCTGGAGAAAGTGCTTTAAGCAGAAAGATAACATGATGACTTAGAATTTGTATTTAATTGGCACAGTTATATAGCGTACTCACTGCTGGCTCCATTTCAAACAAACAGTGCCCTCAGGTGCTTTATGGTGAAGAAAGAGTGATGAAGTACCCTCTAGGGTGCTAATCCTGCCATCTTGCCACTATCCAGTGAATGGTCTGAATCCTAGTCTCACAATTCTGAAATATCCTGAACTCTCCGTCTGACAGATCTGTTCCGGGCGGCGGCGGAGGCGGGGCCTCACCACATCCTAAAGATGTACAGCACAAACGGCAGCATGTTGAACATCTCCCCCCGGCTGGAAGCCAACAGCGAGGACTCGTACTACCGCCTGGAGGTGGTGGCGGCAGACGTTAAGAGTGAGCGGCCTCGTCTGTGACACATCAGCAGAGTCTTGGTCCCAGAGTTGTTTCCAAGATTAAAAATCTCGATTTCAAAGCTTCCAAAACAAATACTGTGATGTGGGGGCTGAGGTCATGTCCTCAGTATTGTTTCAGGGAATTTGGCAAATTTAACAGTTGATATATTTACATAGTTTAGTTTCAATAAAGTTAAATGTGAGTGTTTTTAGACAAAACAAGTTAAACATTAAAGAAGCACATTCAGTTCAAATCTTACCTTTATCTTTATTCCCTTCATCACAGCTTACCAGAGAACTTGGCCAGGTCCATCACCTTTTTAAACATCCTTTAAATTGATTGACTTTGTCATCTATTACTCGACTCTATAAATAAATGGCTGCAAACTTTAGTTTTTTTCACACGTAACATCCAGACATCCTACCAATACCGAATGAAAAGTAGAAACAGAACTTCAGTCCGGACTAACAATTATTTTATGAGAGTAGATCTGACTTGGTTCAGAACTTTTCCGATGTTATGATTTTTTTTGTGTTTTATTTTGTGCAGGCGTGGGGATGCCGACAGAGCTGGACAACATGGAATGCAGGTGAGTGCCTCTTGTAAACGCAATTTATTGAAGCATGTGGGTGAGAAGGACTCACTGCTGTTTCCTGTCTCTGTCCTTAGGCTGCATCATCTGGAGAGCAAAGCCACTGAAGACGTGGGAAAGACTCCGGACATCATCTGTGAGCTTAAGAGCCAAGTGGAGTCTTTTAAGAGGAAGCTGGAGGTTTGTCAGTCTAATCCTACCAACACACAACTTTCACAAACTGTAATAATAAAACTATTTTATTCTCTTCTGTCAGAGTGTGGAGCACCTGAGCTGGATGGGTCTGTTCAAGGAAGACGGTGATCAGCAGCTCTCCAAGTTCTCCCCGAAACCCCTAACACCTCATCTGAGCGCGCAGGAGGAGCGCCAACAAGTCCGCAGGAAGTTCCTCAACATGAGGTGACCTCGTCTCATTTCACCGCTGATGAACGCTGGTGTTACTGCTGAAATGAGATGTTAACATTATTTTTATGGAAAATTTGTGTTTTTAATTATTTATTATTTTAGTTTTTTGTTGTTGAAAGAAGTGTTGCTGGAATCCAGCAAATGTGGTGGCATGTAAATGAATATGAACTAACTGTGTTAATTTATTCAATTAATAGATGATATATTAAGTGTTAACTAATCACATAAAGTCAGAGTGACTTGATCATTTATTACGATCATAATTATGAGCAACAGAAATTCATGTGTCCTGCAATAAATCACTGTGAGTGTCACCTGTTGCACCAAATACTCAACAGTTTTAAGAAGAACATTTTGTTTCTCAGATCTCTATGATCGCAGTTTTATCAGAAAAAACCCAAAATTGAGTGTAGAGCACATTTGTGTCTGTTCTGTGTTGCTGTAGCTCGCTGCAGGTCACAGAAGAAGTGAGAGAGCATCTGAAAACTCCCATTTTTGACAACTGGTGAGTACAAATGTGCACAATGTTTTTCTCACTCTGTACTGAAATAATTTGTTTTTCTGATACTCTGTATTGAACTTATTTTGATATTTGTTTTATTTTCTTTCAATATATATTTCTCCTTTGTAGTGTTTATATTTATATTAATTGACTATGGCTCCTATGCAATGCCTGACAACCTGCTGCTGAATAAAGTATCTATCTATCTATCTATCTATCTATCTATCTATCTATCTATCTATCTATCTATCTATCTATCTATCTATCTATCTATCTATCTATCTATCTATCTACCTACCTATCTATCTATCTATCTATCTATCTATCTATGTCGTGAACTACAGGATCCTTATTGACTGGCTAGGACAGTGGTTTGGCGCATCCTATTTCCATCTTTATTACATTTTCCGCTTTATGCAGACGACACAAAGCTTTACTTGTCCATTAAAGGTCATCTCACTAGAGTGAACTGTTAGTCAAGAGCTTTTTTTTTGCATAGGCATGGGTTTTGATGATCTAGCTGCACATCAGCAGGTCACTCTCTTTGATGAAATGAAATGATGTGAGAAATGATTGTAGTAGTACTTTAGTATTAGTTCAACAGGGCTGGTCTTTGGTTGGAACAGAAAAGTTGAACTTTAAACTTTAACTTAAGGCTTGCAGTTACAACTCAATCAATCAATCAATGCATTCGCAATTTTACACTGGCAGTCCTCTGTAGTCGTACAAACATGAGCATAAATTGCTACTGCACATTATGGACTAAATCAAACATGCACCACAGTGGACGCCACTGCATCGTTCCTTTCACTGCCACCCACTGGCCAGCCAGTGTAAGTGCACTAATAATAAACTAATAAACACTGAACAGCTCAGGAATATTTTTGCCAATCCTTCTATAGTAGGAGACCCTTGCAGATAGATAAAAAAAAATGGAAACATCAAGTAACAACAAAGGAGTTTTGATTGATTATATAAAAAAAGATGAATCTGTCAACTAAATTGAACATCATGCTTTGCTGGCTTTACTCCACTACAGTCCATAATATTAATGCAAATGCTCACACACAGACACGACTCTCTCACCTTCGTGTGGTGTTGTTAACAGGCAGTGGGAGGAGGCGGAGATGCTAGTGCTCCTCCAGGTGATGTTCACCGACCTGGACTTCCTGACGGCGTTCCACATCAAGCTGGAAGTCCTGCAGAACTTCCTGTTTGAGGTCTACTGCCACTACAACAGCATCCCCTTCCACAACTTCAGGCACTGCTTCTGCGTCACTCAGATGGTACGAACAGCAGAAGGGAGTTCATCTTTTCTGAGCGTCAGCTGCAAGAGAGTTTAATTTCACCTTTATCAGCTGGATCTCACACGATTCATCACAAGTTATATTTAAGTACTGTACAGAGTCCATTCTCCACTTAGTGGACTACATGGCAAAAGAAAACAACAGTTGCTCCAAGAATGGCTAGGAGTGGCTCATGTTCCCCTGCCTTCAAAAACCTTTTGAGAAACAATGAAAAATACTTTTCCAATATGTGTGTTTTAGTTTAGTCCAGAAAGAGCGTGTTAGATTGCTGATCATAAAGTTACATTGATTACAGGCAGGTGAAACATCAGGGAAAGGCTGTGCAACTTCTCCCTGGAGTAATAGAGTTTGTGTTACATTTTAAACTGTCTAATCTATCTAAACCCATGCACAAGTCAAAATAATAGTTTATACAACTTTTATGATTATGCAACTTTCTGCAGGTTTGCCATCATACAGGTGATGCCCATATGTCTGAAAGGTCAATACATTTGTCTGGCTTTAAAAGAAACATTAATTTAATTATCATTTAGATTTGAATTGGATTCTTGAACATGGGTAATTTAATCATTTTCTACGGCCAAAAGTGTTTTTTATTGAGCTTTTGTCTTGTTTATGTAAATATCACATTTCTTGTACTGATTTTATATTTTCTAAAGGAACCAGTAACTAAATCTGTCAAATTCTGCTACACAAGACAAAAGCTCTTTGAGTGCAGGTTAATAAAAGTTTAATTATGCGGAAACAGCTGTGTTTTGGTGATACAGATGTTTGTTGTTGGGGTCTCGTTCTGCAGATGTATGGGCTGATCTGGCTGACAGACCTCAGGAGTAAATTATCAAGAATCGACCTGTTGATTATGTTGACCTCGGCTCTGTGCCACGACCTCGACCACCCTGGCTACAACAACGTCTACCAGGTCACCTCCCTGCCGTTCTGTTTGGGGTTTTAATGTGTTTGTCTCATAATTATTGTTAATCTGAATGTTTTATTAAAAATATGTCACACAGATCAATGCGCAGACTGACTTAGCTCTTCGCTACAATGATATTTCCCCCCTGGAAAACCACCACTGTGCCGTGGCCTTCGGCATCTTGTCCAAGGTACAAAAAACATCACGCATTAAAGGATTGTGCTGTAGAAATGAAAAGCAAAACAATTATGAATGGAAACAGACAGAATAAAAACAACTGCCGTTGCTATGGAGTTCTGTGGGCATCAAAGTAAAGTTATTTTAGACAATTATTTCATGACTTTTGTTGTGTACCCCTCGAAAAAAAATAATGAGGTCAGGTGACCTCAGTGGTGGGTATGACCAGCTGACAGTAACCAATAAGAAGTAAGGGTACTTGTGTGGACAAAATCATAAGTGGTGGTAGACTGGTGAGTACCGGCACTGATCTGTTTTCTTACTTTCTTATAAAATGGTCATAAAATAGTTTACCCTGCACATATTCAAGCAGTGAAATAAAAACCACAAAATGAGACTTTCCTACTTGATACTGAAGCCGTTTGAGAAACATTAAAAGGAGTAAAATGACTTTCTCTTTGCAGCCAGAGTGCAACATCCTAAAAAATCTGACCTGTGAGCAGTACAAACACATCCGGGGAGGAATGATCAGGTAAGACTTCGGCTAACACTTCATCCGTGTCCATGTTGTGTCGTTTGTTAAAAGAATCCCAAAACCTTTTTCAGATGTATTCTGGCCACCGACATGGCGAGACACAACGAAATTCTCAACAAGTTCAGAATCATGCAGCCGGTGTTCGACTTCACCAACAAGGACCACAAGGAAGTGGTAAAGAAATACACACTGAAACCTTAACTGATATTTTCAGTTTCTTTCAGGCTTTCTTATGAGCTGTGCTTTTAGTTTTAAGGTCACTTTGATCCAACTTGTTAGTTCTCCCTTTACACTGAAACAGCAAAACCTCTTTGTTTTCCTCCTATTTCAATCTACAAACCTTTAAGTGGGTCAGTGTGGTCAATCAGCTACTTTAGTTGAGTCTTTAGTTGTGTTTTATATTGTTTTAAAATCAGGCAATTAGAAGTCTGAAATTAAAATAACACAACAAAATAAGATTAAGAAGTGAAATAAGCAAATAAAACAGATTTATTATTGGATATTTTCTCTAACATCTTATAATAAACTCTGACCGGTAACCTGTGGAGAGAACGAATATATAAAAGCATGTGTGACAAGGAGCACCATAGCAACAACACAAAACTACCTCACCAGTGCTTCTCATTCTGGATGTGGTTCCTGTTTCCAGCTGATGAAGATCATGGTGAAGGTGAGCGACATCTCCAACGAGGCGAGGCCGATGACCGTGGCTGAGCCCTGGCTGGACTGTCTGCTGCAGGAGTTCTTCAACCAGGTTTTTACTGATCAATACACAGGAAGTGACATCTGTCCCTAACGCTGCGACCGGTGACTGAGAGTAGTCAGGAAGGGAATCTCACTGTTGAATATCAGGAAGGATTAAGCGACATTTGCTGTACTAGTCGAGCTGTGTGCTGTATATTTTATAACATATGCAGATGATACACACTTTGTCCTTGTTTTGTTGTGCAGAGCGACACAGAGAAACTCAAAGGGCTTCCAGTGACTCCTTTCATGGACCGAGACAAAGTGTCCAAACCGTCCTCTCAGACCAACTTCATCCGATTCGTCCTCTTGCCGCTCTTCACCGAGCTCACCAAGCTGTTTCCCTGTCTGGAGGTAAAGTCACTGATTGATAACAATAGTATGTACAGTTTTTATAGGGACTTGTGGGTGATTAGGTCCCTTGAGGAAAGAGTTGGGGAACCACTGTTTTAAGGGACACTTGTTTCCTCCATTTGTACTATTAATGTGGCCACAGCACAGGCTCGAACACAATGAATAATCTCCAGGATATTTGGTAATGGTAATCAATGTCCAGGTGCTTCCACGAGCGGAGACTAGTCTCAAAATTTGGTCTATTAAACAGCATCTTAAACGCATTTTAAGATCCGTTTAGTTGTTTGCAAGAGCTAATTTGAGTGCTGTCAAAAGTACTTCTGGGAAATGTAGGAAATCAAGCTGTTGTTGAGGGAACACAGAAAGCACTGCAACACAAAACTGAACTTCATTGTTTCACCAAACAACCCTTGACACACGCTGAGCGGAGGTCCTGAAGCTAAAGGTTTGGCTGTCTGTCACGTTGTCTTGCAGCAGCACATTCTGGAGCCGGTGCGACGAGCCCTGGAGTATTACTCCGACATGGAGAGGGCCAACAAGCAGGAGCAGGGGACGACCAAAGCATGAGGAGTACGCGCTGGCCGACAGAGTTGTCATTTAAAATGTTGTGGAGGATTTACGTCTTCGTTGTTTCTAGTTGGGATTATGTCCGCCATTTCAAAGTCGTTATAGTTTTATAAGATTTGGACACCAGTGAGACATTATTTATTATTATTGGACATGTTGGTGTATTTTAATAGGGCAGGAATAATCCTATTTATTGTTCAGTTAATCTGCTGGATTATTACACGTTTTCCATTTTCTGCATAAAGAGCACGATGAGGTTAAAGGTTAAGTCTGGTGATATTCTGCGTGCCTCATTCCTGAGCGAGCGATGGGAGGTCTTAAGCACAGAAATATATATTTTGAAGGGGAATTACAGGCAAGGTACAAAGAGTGTAGATAGTTACGCCAGTGATTTGACTGGAAACGATAGAGCCAGGTTGAGGGAGCGTGCAGGCAGAGTGGAGACGTTGTGAGAAGGGTTACTATTGCACGTTAATATGGATTAACATCATTTAGTCTTCAGTAGGAACCAAAAGGGCTCCTCCTGGTCCACATACAACAGTTCCCGTTTGGAGCCACCATTACAGTGTTTGTGAACCGTTCATTTAACCTCCGCCACTGTCTCGCCATCGCATTTTAACTGCTAACTGATCATCGCTTTATGGATTTTATTGATGCTGAGTTGGCAAGAAATCGTCGTACACGTTACTGTCCAATCTCTGAAAATAAAGAATGACATCAGACTTATCCTTTGAATTACCCAACATGTGACTGTTTTGATCATTTGATTGATATGAATTAGTGACAAGAAATGTATTTTATGTGCACATTTAAATATAAATAAAATGCTTATTTTTCATGTCTTGCCATCGCTGACTGTGTCACTATAACAAATGGGCTTTTTTAGATGTATATTGTTTTCAACTTTGAAAGTCAACTTCCTTATTGTGTACTTTTATATGTTGATATTGTGTGACTGTCAATAAAGATCTGCCTCTCTGCTTGGTGTTAAATGACAGTACATGGTAATTAGTGTTAAATGTTGTTTGTTAAATAAAAAGTGAACTCTGTACACATTGAAGAAAGCAAACAGCTGGAGGTAAACTGAAAGGTTTTATTTTTCAATCACTTCATTTACAAAAAAAAAAGTGCAATTATGATTTTTTGTAAGAGTATATCTCATAAATATGTAGTTTCAAATAAAAATGACCAGGGCTCAACATTAGTGTGTTTCAGACAAAATGAGAAAATGCTCACAATAAATCTTCAATATATACAACACAGTTAATGTTTCAATACATTCTCTTGGCATTTAAAAAACAAAAAGTTGATCACTTGCTTCGACAACATGAACCTTCCGGTCTGTCTGAACTGATAGCAGCTTGGAGCTCTGACCCATTATTATTATTCACTTCAAAAAAATAAACCACAACACAGGAAATGACCGAGGGGAGAAAAACACTGAATGAGCAGTCGAGGAGCAGGATGCAAAAAAAAAACAACCACACAACAGCTTTTTCCCCAGAATCTTTTTGTGCAAGCTTGATATTATTAACTGGAATTCATGGTTGTTTTCAACCTGCAACACTTGTGTCCTTCTTAGTCCTTCATTTCTGATCCTTCTGGAGCTGAAGTGAATCCGTAATGAAGGAATATTTATCTAACAGCAGAGGTACAATGTGACTGTTCTGTCTGTCTGTCTGTCTGTCTGTCTGTGTAACAGGAGCTTATCGTACCATACGTGTCCTTAGCTATGCTACCTTCCTAACTCCTAACTGCACTGCGATTTTGTCTGCCTCATGTGAAGGCTGACGGTCCTCAATCACCAAATCAAGATGAAAAACAGTTCCCAGCTTTTAGAGAGCAACAGTGACCGCCCACTTTTTGAACAGCTCCTGTTCCCTGAAGTGAAATTCCAGTGAATTGACTACATTTAGGACTTTTAACCCTGAAAACAAGCTTTAAAAAAAAAAAGGTACATAAACTGTGTACATAATTATATTAAGGAACTACTCCCATAAAGCTTTGCAAATGATAATGAAAGTAGTGCGCTTCTTCTTGGATTTAACCACTGGCTTTAATATGGTGTTGACTGGCCCTCACAAACACTGACCGTGGTCGCTCTGTGCTCAATTTAACCATCGGAGCTCACCAGCTAGCTCAAACCTGCTGAAGTGTGTAAATAAAGTTTTAAATATTTAAAGATTTCCATGGATGAGAGCAGAATCTGTTTGTGTTCATTAATCGACCTTTTACTACCAGTGCTGTTTACAAGGTAGGTCAGCTCACTATATGGGAATTATTAAGGTTAAAATACCCTCTGCTCAACACTGTCACACCAAACTTCATTCAAAAAATGTCTGTTTTAAGGTTGGGCCACATTCTTTCACAGTAAAAGATTTATTTCTGATTCTCTTCAGTCTACAGACACAATCTGCTCACACTGACTCAGTAACATCATTAACTAACCTGTGAGGAAGAGTTGGACACAGACACACTCACTGACTGTCTGTCATTAACTAACCTGTGAGGAAGAGTGTGACACAGACACACTCACTGACTGTCTGTCAAGCTGTAACTCTGCTGTTATCTCACACACTTTAAGGCTCTTGGAAACCATTTGACACAATCAAACGAACCAACAATCAAACACAGTTCTCACGAGAATGTCTGGTGTTGTTAAACTGCTACAGTAAAAACAACATTTAGCCTTTCAGACAGTTTGTGCCTTCAGGTCCAAAGTGACAGTGACAAGCTGAACGGTGCCGCTGAAGCATACAAAGGAACATTAACACAGGCAGCATTAATATAAATATGGCAGCAACATACAACAATAAACAACTATTAGCCAAAACACAAAGTGCAGCAGTCCAAAACTCTCCGACGTTAAATAAAATCAGGATTCTAACAATCTGTTTGTTAAAGGAGCAATGTGCAAGATATGGCCAGAATTATGGTTCATGAATGTTTCCATATTAAATAAATGAACATTATCAACAGGACACGAAGAGGTAACAGCTACAGAGACATCTATGTAGTGCGTCGCATGCAGTTTTTGTTGCCAGGAATTACACATTGCTACTTTAAATCTTACAAATGGTCCCAGTTTCTATTTCAGTTTTCAGTAAAGCTTCAATGATGCTGGAGTACCATTTTACCCCCGAACCACGCAGATCTGAGATCTAAAGTGTGTTCAAGGTGTACATCAGTATTAAGTGTACTGTTACAGTTAAACCGATAAAAACTAAATACCTCAGATATTATTTACATCATTTTGAGATGAGTGTTGATCTTTAGTGTCAAATTTATTTTCTTTATTTTCAACTTACCAGACTTTCCAGGTCTGTGCAGCAACCCTGTGGTTCTCCACTGATACGCATCCTTACACCCGACCACCGCTCCGTCTTAACGTTTCCCTTCTGCTTCCTAAAGGTTTTATTTGAACTAGCAAATAAAAGGAATGAAGTGCTGCTCAAGAACCAGATTTGGCACTCTGAGCGTTAAACTGAGGGTTTGGAAGTGTTAAAACGACGAGTCTTTACGCAGTTATGCTGAAAGCTGGTGGAGCTGTGCTGTGTGGTCACTACGGGGGGGGGGACTTTTCACAGGTTGCAGAACAGTAGCATCACTCCACTTTCACCTATTTACACCGTCCGCAGAATAAAGCTCTTCTCTCTTCTGTTAATTGAACATGATGGACTCTGGATCCTGGTTCATCATTTGAGCCATGTGTCGCAGGACGTCCTTCTTGGTGATGATACCCAGGAGACGCCTGAACAGAGAGGGAAATAAACAAGGTCAGCTCTGTTCTGTGATACACAAAGACAGAATAATCATTAATTGTAGCCCAAAACCACTTTATTTATTTAAACTAAACTTTAAAATAAATGATTTTAGTCATTCATTTAAGTCATTAATCAAGTCTCTGTTTGGGAATAGGCTAAAGTTTTAGAACTACAATACACACTTATATGCAACAAATGTGACATTAAATATCCACCATATGTTGCTTTCTCTAGCTTCAGTCTTCTTCCACACAGCATGATGTTCATTTAGTCTATTATGGTCCCATTGAGAGTAAAATAGACGAAGGTATGTTTAAGTAGGGCGTGGCTGTTCCTGTGTTGACCATTTCTCTCCTCAAACTGTTTCAGAAATTTATTTTATTGTACTGTTCATCTGGAATAGGCGAGCGTCCTTCCCTAAGTTTGCTCTGGTTCTTACCCGCTCCTGGTGACGAGACACTGGCGGAGGCCCAGCTTGCGGAAGATGTCCACCACCGTCTCCATGGGTGTGTGGTCGGTGACGGTGAAGGGGCTGAGGTTCAGGATGCGTCGCAACTTCAGTGGCTGCGGGTTGCTGGCCGGCAGCTGCGGCGCGTCCTCTGTGAAGTAGACCACGGAGCTGCTCACCACGCCGTCCTGCTTCTGACGGGCGTTTTCTAGAAACGGACGGGGAAGAGAAGTCTGTTTAAAACATTTTACCCTTTTGGGAAATTGATATGTAAATTTCTATATGTATTATTAAAGCAGCCAATTTCATTTGGTTTGCTGGGAGGGAGAGAGCTGGCAGAACTTAGGGCTTTAGTTACACTTTAAACAAATTGTGTTGTCCAACTAGTCTCCTTCCAATGAATGTGGGGTCTGTTGTTTTTCACACAGGGCTCAGGTAGAAGGTTTGTTTGAGACACAATCATCTCCAATCACTGGTTTAACCAACTTACTGATGGCCAGGGTGAGATCGCGACGCTGAACGAAGCCGATGAGCCTCTCAGACTCTCTGGACACGACCACCGGGAAGCCGTTATAATCGGTATCTTTGATCAGCGCCTCGACGTCCTCCACCGTGGTGGAGTCCTGGGTGAGCACGGCCAGAGGCGGGTCGTTCCTGCGGGGCCGCATCACGTCGGTGGCCAGGGTGCGGTGGGTGAACTCGTCCCTGACGTCCAAGTAGGGGTAGCCATTGAGTTGGATGTGTGACTCGTAGATGCCCTCCTTCCCGAAGGCGTCCGCCACCCACTTGCTGGTGACGGCGGCGGCCATCAGGGGGACGATGTACTCCAAACCGCCGGTGAGCTCGAACATGATGACCACCAGGGAGACGGTCATCCTGGTCACCCCGCCTGAGAGGATATAATGAGGGAGATGAATTAATGATTTGAATTCTTCTGTACTTTTCACAGATTTTCATCTCCATCAGATTTAAACATTTTGTGTGATGTTCAATTAACCGAAGGCCAATATCAACAATCTTCAACTTCCAGTGTTGATTGACAAAATAAAATGATGCACTGAGGAACTAATATACTGATCAATAAGTAATGCTACTTACTCCTTGGCAAACCAAGTCTGTATTTTCAATCTGAAATTGTCACACATTTAAAAATAAATATGACCTGTTTTTGTTGTTCTATTGACTCGTGTCTGCCCACTGTATTCCATCTCACACATGTTTCCTGCTTCGATGTTTTCCCTTTGCTTTAGTGTGGAGACGTCTCACTTCATTTAAAGACGTGTCAGCAGTGTGCCACCCCACAGGGCAGCAGCAGGCGCTCTGATTGGCCGGACCCCTCACACGACTCCCACCCTACTGTACATGTGTTAACATCTACAGGCAGAGGAAGAACGCTAAATCCTAATCGTGCAAATGAAAATAAAGACTTCAGTAGATGTCTACTCACCCAGACAGGCGGCAGCTCCCACCATGGCGTACAGGCCAGGTGTGACACAGTCTGCGCCGGGCCGGCACCAGTTCTTGAAGATGATCCAGTCGTGGTGGTGGTACGCCATCTGCTCCACGGCAATCCCGACAATCCGTCCTGCGATAGCTCCGACCGCCATGCTGGGAATGAAGAGACCCGACGGGATCTGGAGAGGAAGCAGAAACGTGCAGAGGACGCTCAGGTACTCTGATTACAAACCATACTGCACCTGCTGTGGAGGTAGGGCGACCATGTGTCCCCCTTTATGTGGGACCCCCTTTAGCTTTCTTTGTGCTTACTGTATTTACCGTCTATTATTTTTATATTCTTGTTATTTTTGAAGTTAATTATACAAATATTTCAGACCTCTCAGCATTTGGTTTGTTGGGATCTGCTCAGTCTAAACGGAGGGCAACATGTCAGACTGAACACTGGTTCTTTACAAGGAGAGACAGAAAACCAAATCTATCCTTCGTACTGACCTTCATGCCAAAGGTGAAGATTGTGATGACGATCTTAAAGATGAGAGCGAGGGCGAGCTGCCACAGGGCGTTGTAGACCCCGGGCCCTGCCGGTCGGTCTGGGATGTCGTCCACCGGCCGACTCATGTTGGGGTTATTAATATAATCACAGAGCTGTGACGACTCCAGCGCTCCGCAGTCGTTGAAGAGCTCAGAGATGAGCTCGCTGGTGCTGCGCCGGGTGTACGGGTTGGGGAACGCCAGCACCGCGGTGATACCCGTCACAGCGATCACCTCCAGAACCGGGTACTTCCCCAGCTGGGTGGTCTTCCTCCGGCGGCACCAGGCAATGTTGGCGCGGATAAAGAGGGTCCCCCAGAGGCCGCCGAACACGCCCAGCAGGATGAATGGCACCAGCTCAGCCATGTACCACGGCGTGTGGTACTCCACGTAGAAGAGCACCAGACGGCTGTTGCCAAACGGGTTGATGGAGCGCAGTGTGAAGGCGGCGACCAGGGCAGCGAAGAACGAACGCCACAGGGTCTTCAGAGGGAAGTAGTAGCTGACCTGTAGGAGAGACGACATCATCAGGTGTTATTCCAGTTTAATGAACTGTTTATTGAACTTAATGACGCACTGCCGGACCAAAGCACTGCGTCACACCGTCACACATTAGGGACAGACAGCAGTTCTTTAACAAACCTCCTCCAGGCTGAACAGAACTCCTCCGATGGGCGCTCCAAAGGCCACCGACACGCCCGCTGCTGCTGCAGCTGATAACACCTGAAAGGTCAGAGGTCAGGGTCACTGACACAACTCTCCCAAGTGAAACTCTGTAACATGTTTCAGTATATTCAAAATGTCACTATATTGCTGGACAAATTTCACATGTGTAAATCAAATCTTTGAAATCTTTTTGTTTTCTGTATAAATTAACACGTGAATAGGATTCTTGAGCCAGACAAATATGGGAATTGCACGCTGCATTAAGTCTCTGAAACACTTTTCACTACGTGTTATAGGGCGTTTTATCCGTGGGGTCAGCAGCGTACCTCTCGCCGCTTGCCCTCGTTCTTGCTGTATTTGGAGAAAAGGCTGCAGAAGAGGTTTCCGCAGCAGCAGGCGACGTGGACCAGAGGGCCCTCTTTCCCCAGGCTCAGACCTGACGACACTGCGAGAACCAGGGTGACCGTCTTGATCAGCAGGGTCCATTTCCCCAGGTATCCCCTAATGATAAAGCCGCTAAGGATTGTCTTGATCTGCCCGAAAGCACAAATAACATCTGTGAATATGTTTTACTGTCGAATACATTCTATTTTGTTTTTGTATTAGGTGTGAAGATGGCATGCAGGTCATTATATATTATGTCTCTCACCTCCGGGATTCCTGAGCCGCACGCGTACGGAGCAAACACTCGCACCAGTGACACCGCCAGGAAGGAAAACAGCAGAGCCCACAGAACGTACAGGAAGTAGTTCAGCACATATGCTCCAGCTCCCTGAATGACCAGAGAAAAATATTATCTTATTAAAACAGTTAAAGAGTGAGCTTAACACGTTTAATTTATTTGCATCGGTTCACGCTGTGTGCTGCCATCTAGTGGTGAGAGCTAATTCTTCAGTCAAGCTGGACACACGTTGACAGTGAATGTACTTCTGATACGCTTGGATCGAGAAACAAATGATTGGTTCTGATGGGTAACTCAGCTGTGGGTTGAACTCTGACACATCATCATGTTTTGATGAGAGCCAGGTCTGACCTCAGCGTGGCCGGTCATCAGCTCGGCCCACTTTTGCCACTGCGGACATTTGTCTCGGTCGTCGAAGGTCGTCTCGTTGGACGTCCAGCAGCACTGCTCGTGGCTGTACCAGAAGGCCGACAGACACACACCTTCCTTCAGGTCGGTCATCCAGTCCACCGCCAGGTCGATCACTCCGGCCAGCGTACCTGCAGAAAACAAGACGTGTCCGTAGACTGCAACATAAACCTAACCACGTGAACCTCGAGCAGCACAGCGCTGGTTTGCAACCGTTTACACTCCCTTCATTTCAGCACTCGTCCTCCTCACTGACCTGAGAGGAGTCCAATGAGCAGCATCACCACCCATCCGGACCAGGCATCCAGCAGGCTCTTGATCAGCTCCCAAAGAGACTCTTTACTTTTACTGGTGATCTGTAGACAAACAAGGAGAAATGAATGTTGTTAAATGTTGTAATTTATATTCCTTATATCTTCAAAACAGGCTCGTTACTATAGTTTTATTCCATTTTACACCCGAAACCGAACCAAGACACAAACATGAAACAACAACAAACTCAATATCTACGCAGTATGTTCGTCTACGTGGAGGAAACCTGGTCAAACCTTGCGATGGCGGTCTGTGTCTCTGGACTTCTCCCTCAGCCAGTCGATGGTGTGGAAGTCTTCGTACGTTCCCACGTCAGGAAACGGCTCGTCCAGGAAATCCATCAGGTTTCCAGCTCCGTTCATCTCCTCTGTGGGCGTGGCGCCGCTCACACCTGGCAGAGGAGGAAGTCATCGAATTACTCTGATCGCTCTAATCTATTGCATCAGTAATTGATTTATTTATTCTGTCCCAAACACACACACACACACACACACACACACACACACACACACACACACACACATGATTTCTTCCATCTGGAGAACATTTGTAGACTCTGCAGTGTTTCATTATGAATCCTTGGTAATAAGTTCACTCACAATATTTCTTTTTAGAAGAGTAACAGATGAGTTATTAATGATTAACTAGTTAGGTTAATAAACAAACAAACACTGCTTAAAACAGTGTAAATAAATAAAGTAATGATTTGTTATTAATAAGAGTTATTGGGGGGGGGGTTGTGCTTTTTGTGGGATTACCAATAATCAATAATTGATCAACAGAAAAGTGTTTAATGTTAAATACTCTTTAGATACGGCATTATGTGCGTTAGCAGCTAAACCTAGCATCATCGATAAAGTCCGTTTTACCTTCACCAGCCTCCATGTTCGAGTCCGTCCTCACAACCGGGGGTGGGAAACCTTTCTTTCTAAATGATGACTTATTGAATGTCGACTTCGTTTTTCATTTTGGCGACGATAAATCGAGAAAAGTGAAGTTAAACGTCAAGAAATAAACAGATTACAGCGGCCCACAATGCACCTGTTCTCCTCCTCCTTCTTCTTTTCGCAATATGGAGGATTGCGATGTTTTACTTTGAAAGGGCTTACCGCCACCTAGTGTACCGGTAATTATTACCCTGTAATTAAAATAAAATAAAGTAAAATAGAACTCAAATAAAGTAAAATAAATACAAAGGGGACAAACATAAAAATAAAATAAAATAAATACAAAGTAGACAAACATAAAAATAAAATAAAATAAAACAAAATAAAATAGAAAAAAAGGGGGAAAAAGTTGACAAACATAAAATAAAATGGGAATTAAAATAAAATAAAGTAAAACAGAACAAAAATAAAATAAAATAAATACAAAGGGGACAAACATAAAAATAAAATAAAATAAATACAAAATAAAATAGGAAAAAAGGGGGAAAAAAGTTGACAAACATAAAATAAAATGGGAATTAAAATAAAATAAAGTAAAACAGAACAAAAATAAAATAAAATAAATACAAAGTAGACAAACATATATAAAGACAGGATATAAGGTCTAAACATGTTAATTAAAATAAAATAAAGTAAAATAGAACATAAATAAAATAAAATAAATACAAAGAAGACAAACATAAAAATAAAATCAAATAGAACAAAATGAAATAAAATAAAAATGGAAAAAAAGTAGACAAACATAAAAATAAAATAAAATAAATACAAAGTAGACAAACATATATAAAGACAGGATATAGGGTCTAAACATGTTAATTAAAATAAAATAAAGTGAAATAGAACATAAAGAAAATAAAATAAATACAAAGGGGACAAGCATAAAAATAAAATAAAATAAATACAAAGTTGACAAACATAAAAATAAAATAAAATAAATACAAAGTTGACAAACACAAAAATAAAATAAAATAAAAATAAAACAACAAAATAAAATGACAAAAACAAACAAAAATAAAATAAAATAAATACAAAGTAGACAAACATGAAATATAGACATAAAAACAATATTCCCTCCATGCTCCTCTCTCTACCTGCCTTCCTGATCCCTTGTATGAATCGTTCCCTCTTTTCATTCTCTTTGTTGCAATTCTGCATTTATTGATTTCTGTACTTTGTAATATGATCAACACGTTTTACCTCCCTCCCATCTTTTGTGCCATTTTCTCATTAATGCTTTTTCTGCCCCTTTAACATCTTCCTTATTTATTGCACTACTGGCAACTTTGTCTGCGCCCTCATTCAATGCCCACATGAGCAGGTACCCAACAGAACCATCTTCACCTATTCTATGCTGTCTGATACAAAGTCTTCTCTTATTGATGACACATATTTTATACTGAGCAGCACCACAATAGAATCGACACAGAAAACCTCTCTGTCTGGAATAACTTCTTCAACCCGCTGTAGATCTATAATTACTGCCAACGTTTCAGCAGCATCAACAGAAAGATGGTGTGACACCTTTTCCACTATGTTCAGTTTTGGTATTTAAATTCCTACTTTGTCATGCTTGTCTTCAGAACCATCTTTGTAAATTTCCAGGTAACTTTGATGATTTTTGAGTATATACAGTACATGTATAATATAGTTGGTGCGGACGTGAATTTTGTGCCGGCCCATCTCAGTGCACAGTCTTAGTCTTAGCCTAATATTTACCACATTGACCCTCCTGCCCATTCTTGCATGTTGGGGCTATAGCGTAGTTTTTTGTTTGTTTTTATCTTTCTCTAAACCGTTATGTGGCTATGTCTGCAGTTCTAGCAATTGACACTGGGTGGAGTTAATTAGATTTAGATTAGATTTAGATTAGAAAGGCCTGAACACAGACTATATTGACAGAGCCTTCACTGCTGAAGCTGATTAGTTATTGTTAAAATTATAAAATATCATACAAAAACACTCCCTAAAAAAAGGGCTCCCGAAAAGAAAAGCTTGGGAACCAGTGACACAGACCGTTTCAAGGATGTAAATAAAAAAGTGAATAACATTTCTGATGTTCTGAAGATCAATATCTAACTCTGGACTTACTCACACACACTCACACACCAATCTAAACAGGTTTTGATGAATGAATTAATAAATGACTCGGATGTTTGCTTTCTCCCACTCCTTTTATTACATTTCTTTGGGTTTTAATATGCTAATAGTAATAGTACAACAGCACGTCTAACATCATAGTAAAGAAGAAATTATATATGTTTTATAAAAGAGCCCACAGTACCAGGAAGTAGTGCATGGAGTAAATAAAACCCTGTAAACCTCCATTACCGTAAAACTTCAATAAATAGCCCGGCCTTTATTTGGGACAGATCTTTAAACGAGACTGGCCTTTAAACGAGACAGGCCTTTAAACGGGTGGTCTTTAACGGGACAGGCTTCTATATTGGACAGGCCTTTAAATGGGACAGGCCTTTATCCGGGACAGACTTCTTTATGGGACAGGCCTTTAAATGGGACAGGTCTTTATACGGGACAGGCTTCTATATTGGACAGGCCTTTAAACGGGACAGGCCTTTATACGGGACAGGCTTCTATTTGGGACAGGCCTTTATATGGGACAGGCCTTGAAACGGGACAGGTCTTTATATGGGACAGGCTTCTATATTGGACAGGCCTTTAAACGGGACAGGCCTTTAAACGGGACGGGCTTCTATATGGGACAGGCCTTTAAACGGGCAGGCTTCTATATGGGACAGGCCTTTAAACGAGACAGGCCTTTAAACGGGACAGGCCTCTACACTGTAAATAAACACAGTAGAGTTTTTATATAATTACGGTAAAAGGAGTTTAGTACTGTTGGTTTTACAGTCACACCAGTTTTGACCATCAAAAGCAACAGTTTTGCCACATGAAAATACCGTATGATCGTAGTGAGATATGGTATATTTGTGGTTTTCTGTGTAATTTACAGTCTGTAATATAAAAAAGCACTTTACTCTGTATAAACTCCTTTTTAACATGGTGTGTCGAATTGGGACCCTGCTTTTAATCAAAGTTTTACGGTATTTTTCCTCATTGCACACTTCACTTCTATTATTATTATTTCACCAAAGATTTTGTTCCACTCTCATTATTAATTGGCCTGAATCATTGGATTGAATCAGCACCAATTCTGCAGAAATAACATGATCCTTCACAGGTGGATCCAATGAAGATCAGTGTTATGATAATTATATCATATTTCACAGCAACAGTAACAACACATGAACAAAAACCCCAACCTTAATTAACCAACGTGAACAACTATCCTGTCCGAAACACGTTCTATATAATGTTATATGTCTTGTTTTATATGAAGAGTAGCTGCTACCTTAGTGCAGCTACTGGGAAATAAAGAACCTCAAACATTGTTTCATAACCAGCAAGCTTTCAGGCTCCTCATTGGGATGAAGGTTGAGTCAGGAATCATCTGAGAAGACAACCAAACAAAACAGGGATTAGTCATGATTTATACTCTGATGGAGATTTTTCTGTTTCTGCACAGAAAATATCAAAGTCTGATCGTCAGATTACCAATAAATGAACTGATCACATTCCTGCTACTGACACTTTAGATTTTAATGCCCTTTGAACTTTCCTCTATAGCGCCAACCAGAGGACAAACTTTACATATTGAGCACCAAGAAAAGCAAAATCATTAGTATGATCAAATCAACTCTGACCTAAAGAACAAATGAATTTGTTGAAAAAAGGAAATAAACTGAGTAAAGTGTGAGTGCTCTTCCTCTGATGCCCTCTTAAATAATTTAAATGTTTACGAAAGCCACTTAATTCTGATTAAAGACACACTTAAGATCAATCTTTAACTGTGAGCGGCTTTATACACAGCCATGTAATTAATAAGAAGGTAGATGTCTTTACCTACTTAGTCCAGGTCATAGAGATGAGGGCTGGGTTTCCATCGGCATATTTGGACCTGAGAGATCTGCGCTTCCTGCCACCTCCACAGCTCTGTCAGACAGGAGATGGTTTGATTTTAGGCTTCAGACTGTGTGTTCAATATGCTGATGATACTTCTGTATTCATGCAGTACCTCTACTTGAGTATTTTTACATTGTTGTATTACTACTTTTTACTCGAGTATTTCCTCCCTGCTTACCGGAGTGCAGGTTTTGTTCTGTGTGAGGCACAGCTCCAGTTTGCAGTGCAGGTAGATGTCGCTGGTTTTCCCAGAGAACTTGAACATGTTGAAAGAGACACTGTTGGATGTTCCCACTCCGTTTCCCTGTATCATCACCGTCTTGTCAGCGGCATTTGGGCATCTGCTCAGAAACAGGAAACGGACATGATGACGTCAGCAGCAGTAGAGCCTCCGACAAAGTCACAGTTTTGTGTTTTTTTGTGTTTTTCTCACCCGTTTTTGACAAGGTCGTATCGCAGGGTCCCATTGGGTGAGGAGTCGTTGGATGCCCAGCAGGAGTCGGTGACCACGGTGACCATGTTGTTGTCCAGCCCATCCGTCTTCAGCTCCACCCAGATCTTCTGGTTCAGCCCGACCTCAGTGTTTGCGTTGACGAGGTTCATGTGGTCGGAGTCGTTGTAGGCATTCATCGTCACAGTGTAATTCCAAACTCCAGATACAATCTGCTTCACCACAGAGCTGAAGAGCACGGACACACACACTTCAGCCATCTTTAATTTCAACTACAACAAGCTTCATTCGGCACATGAACAACCAGGTGAAGCTCAGCGCCCCCCCACACACACCTGTCTTTGATCTTGAAGGACAGACTCTTGATTTCTGGCACGGCGTAGGGGCAGGAGAAGTCGATCGCTACCTGGTCGTTGCGGGTGATGATGCCGGAGGCGTTCGCCATCATGACGGTGTTCTTGAAGATGACTTGGCTGTTGTTTTTCTAGATTGAGACAGGAACACAGACATGTTTTCAGCTTAATTTAATCACAGCGATGTTTACATGACAGAGAAAAAAGTCTTTGTCATCCAGCTGGTAATTCAAACGTGTCTTTCTGTCATAAATAAAGAAAACCAGTGGAAAATGTCCTCCCTATATTGAACCAAAGGTTGAGTTTACAGTTTGTGCCCCTGCTGGAGGACAGTACCCACCATAACCTCCGCCCCGCAGGCGTTGCTGCTGTTATAGCTGAAAGTCACCATGTGGGTCTCGCTATCTAGGTGACCTGTGCAGTTCTGGTCCTTGAGGTGTAAGGCAGAGTAGTCGATGCCTTTGTCCGTCAGCAGACAACCAGCCAGAGTGAGAGTGGCAGAGTTCTGCGTGCAGACTGTCGGCTCGCCTGAACAGCAGGACAAAGTAGTCAAACAGTCACCACTTTAATATGGATTTATTCATCCTGCAGCAGCTGGTTCGTGCTAATGTTATCTTCTTAACTGACATTAGACTGGAGAGGCCCGACAGGCTCTGCACCAAACCACAAAACCCAAAACCCAAAACCGCTGTGCCTCTGCCAGATGTTTCCAGAACTAAAATCATCTTTGGACATATCAGCAGCTGGTTTATGAGTTACCTGCTCTTCTGTTTTCTGTCATTGGCTTTGTTTGCCTTCCTCTGGAGAACACTTTGTACAATTAAAATGAACTCTATAAATATAATGAAAAACATCCAATTCAGCTCCCAAGCTAACTGATATAAAATTCCCTGCTAGTCTGTAAAACAGTTCAAACTTTACAGGTTATAGCTCCAAAAACTTGTAGAGAATTTATTTCAAAACAACAAACATTAAAAAGTGTCTCATAACAGGATAAAATCTAGAAAATGTTTTTTCATGTGACGGTTGTGGCACAGTACCTAAAGAGTTTGTTGAGTTGTACTTGGCAGCGAAAATGGCCCGACAGAGGCAGCTGGTTGAACCGAGCTTCTCACCGCAGAACTCATGAGCACTGCAGTCCTGATCCTGACAGGAGGCCTGAGGGACAGCAGCTACAGACAGACAGACAGACAGACAGACAGACATGAGGCTCACTATCAAAACTTGACTTCCTTCTGATTTTATTCCACTGAATTTATTTGACAGCTATAGCTACCTTTTCAGGTAAAAATGACAAATACAAAACATGTGATTCTATAGTTATAGATTCAGTACAAAGGTATGTGTATAATAGCTCTCTAGAGCAGCAGACACCGAAGTGCTTCACAAAAATAAAACAGAGCACTAGTTATATAAAAGAAGATCAAATGTATTAAACATTTAAATTGAACATTGAAATGCATCAGTGATAATTATTCATTCTGCACAGTGAATACTTTTACCATCTGTACCTTTTTGTTGATCATTGTCGGGATACAAGGATGCTTTTAAATATGAACTTCATTTGTTCATTTGAAGTGTTTAACTGAAACACAAGGAACATGTTGGAATCTGACGATGTGCTCAGAAACTTCTGAGGCCTGTATGGAAGCCATAAAACCTTTCTCTACGCCCGCCAGATAACAGACCCCTCTGTGGGGGCAAAAAAACGGCCAAACGCCAGCCCATCACTGGTCAGAGATCTTTGGACACCAGACCTGTCATCAAGGATATTTAAGCCAGAGAGACGCTCTCCTCTCTCTCTCTCTTCCTCTCTTCTCCTTCTCTTCTTATCTTCCTTCAACTTCTGGATCTCGGTGCGGCCTGACCCACCGACGATGCACGACAATAGGATTATAGCACGGCACAAAGGCCTGCTTTTTCCTGCGATACCTTCACTAGCGGACATCGCACAGCAGAGACAGTTTTGGACTTCAGAACCTCAATTCTGATCAGCCTGGCTCATAGGACCACCTCTTTTTCATCTCCATTGGACTGTTGGTAACGTACTGGGCATAGACAGACAACTTAACAGAGTTAACGGCTAAACAAGGACTGTTTAATTATTGTTAATGTTGCTGATGTGTTTTATTCAGGTTACTGTGGTATTGTGATGTTGATTTGATTAACTGAAGTTACTGTAGTAACTGTAGTCTTTGAGACAGTACTAAGGTGATGTTAGTTTAATGCTTCACACAGACATCGCTTTGAATACACTAACTACCTTAAGGCACCGTGAATCTAAGAATCACACACACATATTCGGTCTAACTCTGTGTCTCTCAGGACACAGGACATAAGCCTTTTATGATCCCCATAAACACACACACACACACACACACACACACACGCACACACACACACACTCCTTTAGTTCTTTTAGATAGATTAGTTAGATTGTATATTGTGTATTTTTCCTCTGTTTGCTTTTATTTTATCTGGTTAATAAATGTTTGTGTTTACATATGCTGGCTTATTTAATTTCGTACAAGAGTGAGTGATACCAACCTCTTCTATGTAGAACTCCAAAGCTCCCACTCTAGCTATTATTAATGATTTCGGATGTAGTTATTAATTATTAATGTGATTTCTGAATTAATAGTTTAGTGTAATTTTTATGAGACTGACCAATCGATTATTGGTTATCGTTCCCTTTTTTAAGGGTGGTGCCCCGAGGAACTTTAATATTAATTAAAGTCATTTTCTATTATCTTTTGATAATAATAACTTTTGATAACCATTAATTGATTAAACCAATAGCTAATTAGGGCAGACAAGTAACAAACAATATTTCTTCAGCTTCCTCAATACGATACAAATTAAAGCCAGTAATTCAGTTTAGCGTCAGCCTTTGAACAGCCAATTTATTAAGACGCTCTTACAGCAGTTGGCGTTTGACCTCCAGTTCTCCACTGTGATGGTCACTTTCAGGCGGCAGGACTCGGCGTAAGCCTCCAAAAACTGGCACTTGTTGAGGCCGTCCACCGCTGGATATTTGCACAGAGTGTTTGTGCAGGCGGTTACGAAGGGCTCGGGGTCAGAGTGGTTGTGGCAAACAGTGAAGGGGGCCTGCTTTATGAGATTGCAGCTGGGAGGAAGAATGACAGTCAATCAGCAGGTTTCTGAACAGTATCGTGTAGGAACGTATGATAAAGATGACTTGTTCCTGTTCTGAAGATGATGGGAAGGTTTTGATTGGTCAGTTCTTACTATTCAGTTGTGCGGGTGCAGTTGATCGAGCTGTCAGCGGTTTGGTTGTGCAGAGTCTCGCAGCTAGGAGGCGACAAACAGCACGGGACATTCAATTAGAAACCAATGCCGCATTAATAAACAGGTTATATCAGTTTGGTTGAGACTGAGTTTTACCTGGCTGCACTGTCATTAGAGGACTTGGCTGCACTCAGGGTGAAGTTCTGACTGGAATCAGCGGGGTTGCCACACAAGCCCTCCATAGCTCCAAAATGTCCTGGTCGATGTCAGGAGGCAATTAAAGACAAATAAAAGAACTTCCATCAGTAAGCTCAGCTGTCACTCTTCAACATGAACAACTTTGAAATGACACAGAAATTTTGTCCAGATAGGATTTCTGTACCTGTCACATGTGCAGTGTTGCCATCAAAAAGACTGTGGCGTTGATGGAAGGAATCTTGGCAGTAACTCCAGTCTGGTTCTTCGAGAGCTCCACCCCGTGAACCACCTGACCCGTGGCGTTGAGCGTTAGCGTTTGTTGACCATCCTACATCACAGCAGATAGGCAACATGAGGGAAACACTGGCTGAAATAACACAAATACACACCAACATGTGCTTAACATGGGTGCTTGTTCCAACTTAAAGAAGGATTTTTCAATCTTTAGTTTAGGTAACACCAGCACATTTGAACTCCGATTGTCTCCTCTTATCACTCACAGCGAGAACAACACTTTCAATAGTGTTTACTGGCAGAACAACGAAACAAAGAACATGCTGAAAAAGTAACGTATGACAGAAGTGATGAATGAGAACATTAGTAAAAATAATCTGAATGTTCCTGTTGCACCAACGTTCATTAGACGCAGCTATCCACCCATCCCAGGTTAAAACCTCAAATAGCACCGCATCGTAATTCTGTGCAACTATTTTATTACACTTGAGTAAATAGGATCACATTATATTGTGATATGGAGAATTTTCCACCACCACACCTGTCTTGAATTATATTAACACAAGTAACTCCTGGCCTGTAATGATCATCAGTGATTGATCAAACAAAGAGGATGGAAGGAGGATTTATGAGTCCATAAATAGGCTTTTAGTCTTTGGATGGATTGTGGCAGCTTACCCGGACTCTTCCACCTTGCTCCAGATAGATTTTGACACTTGACCCATTCAGCGACAGTATCAAGTGGTCCAAAAACGCCACATCTTGGCGGCGTCGCTCACGGAAACCCGCCAGTAGGTTGAAGTCTGAGCTTCCTTGAGGCTTCATCAGACTGTATACGCAGCGATCAGGGACAGAGTGGACTCTGCTGGAGAAATCGATGACGCTGGAGGCAGTCACAGTGCACACGTCAGCGGCTCTTACGCACCTGATGGAGAAGGAAAGGGATAGATATTCTGTCTTTTTATTTCTGAGAGAAAACAACCTCTAAGAAAGAAAGGTGTTTTATTTCATGAAGATGACATTTCCAGTTAATATAACTTTGAGGAAAATGAATCCTCACTAGAGTGACAGGACGATGTGTATTAACTTAACTAAAAGCAGTGGGCAGTGCTATTGTGACAAAGACAAATACAAACCTAACCACAGATACCATACAAAGGATCTGAAAAATCCCTCAGTGACCTTAGATTAAAGGTCTCAGCTTACATGTTGTTGCCGATGCAAGACTCCTCTGATCCACATGTACTGACACTGACTCCAGATGATTCAATTGAACAGACCAATTGGGAGCAGGTTTCTGAGCTGTTGAACATTATTTCTCCAGTCTTAAAACTGGCGTCTGGGAGGTGATAGGAGGTTTATGAAATTAATTTAACATTAAACTGGTGTACAAAACGTAAAGGAGAGGAAATAACAATAGATCAGATGGAAATAAACATCTAAATTGCCTACTTTGGTTTCTGCAGCCGCTTATGTCCCAATAAAAAGTCATTTTATTCTTCAGCACTGAGTCCACAGTGGAGTTATCGACTGTCATATTCACAGACTAGAGAAGGAATAGACAAAATTCAAGGTTAATAATGTAATACTGTACTAACTCTGAGTGACTTCAGTTCCCCTTTTTATACATGTATAAATATTTGTCTCCAGTTTCAGGCCCGAGCATGAATCAGAATCAGATTTGTGCTGTTCATCTTATGTGGACAAAAATACCCTAAAAATAAACAGAGGGATGATAGAGCCTTTGCAGTTGCTGCTCCACCTCTGTGGAACCAGCTCCCCCTGGATATTAGATCTGCCCCCTCCATTTCTGCCTTTAAATCCAGGTTAAAAACCCACTTTTACTCCCTGGCCTTCCTTGTTACCTAACCCTGTACCTGCTCATGCTATGTATTTATGTGTTGTGTGCCCTGATATTGAAGGTTTCCTTTTATTCATGTTTTATAGAATTATTGACTATTGGTCCAATGGGTTTTTTCTGTATTATTTGTCTTTTTAGTTATCCACTGGACAGCACTTTGGTCAGTTTATGCTGTGTTTAAATGTTCTTTATAAATTAAATTTACTTATTTACTTACCATTACATGGGATAATTACCCAGCAACCACTGTAAACCCAGAAGGTCCAGAACCCACTGCACAACAAAATAGTCGGGCTAATCTCTGAGAACAAACGTCATATGCCTTACATGTACTTACAATAGTAGGGAGGCTATACAGTGGCCAGAAATACACAGCTGCTTGTTGTCCAGCTTGGTATAAGATTAAGAACTGAAAGTATAAACAGAAAAGATGCAAAACATATTAGGAAATATTTTATATATATATATTTAATATTTTACAATTGAACTCTGATTTGAGTTCCCTTTGCCAAACAATGTCTTTGAAATTTATACAAAATGACTTACCATCTTGGTACCGGCAGTTTTTTGTTCTTTAAGAGCAAACATTACAAAGCACTGCGACAAGCTCGTTATGGCTGGCAGGTTGGACGTAATGTTAGTTTCCACAATACCTATAGTCAGTATCGATGCACTGTCAGAACCATCATTTGTTATGTGAATACAGTCGCTTCCATTTGAGCCTTTGAAACAAACTGCAGTAGCAACGTTGGGTGTCTGCTCCACCTGCAGAGAAAAAAACATACATGAATGACTCTGAAGTGAATTCAGGTCAGTGGGGACATCTTTTCTCAAACATGGTTTAATTTGACTCACAGTCAGCGCTGTGTAATTGCGTCCATAATAGTTGATCGGACAGTCGGTGATGTTCAGTTCTGTCACAGCAGACAGAGAGAAGTCGACCTGGCTGGCAGCAACTACAGTGTGAATTTAAAAGGAAAAGAAATGAGAGACATCATACATCAATCTATCAAGACCAACTTTCTTTCTTTGCAATTCACACCTCCAACTTAAAATGACATTTATCAGTGCAATGAATTCTGGGTGTAAAAGTCTGAATGAATGAAATCAATATTTAGAAGATATTTTCCTTCAGTGTGAATGACAACATGAGGGGATTTATTTTATTCATAAATCTCTTCAGTGTATGAAACTAAATGGTCCCAACTTGATTCCTTGTGTTGATTAAAAGGAGTCCCAACCCTTATTGATTTGGACTGATTTCATGGATGAGCATATGTTATTAAAGATTTATCATTCAGGTACATTTTGTATTTGAAACAGAGAAATCTGCCATTAAACCCCACAGTCACACTGTAATGTCGGTATATAATGTGTAAAATAAAACCTCCCGTAGAGCCTGCAGCATGTTGGCTCATCAGCTAACGCCTTTAAAATAAAGGTTAGATAGTAAAGCACTTTAAACTTTCCAATGGCTCTCTTACCTGCCAGCAGGAGGAGCAGCGCACTCGGCTTCCCCATGATGGATCCCCGGCAGGAAAGTGTCTGAGCTGGGAGAGATACAGTTCACACAGTGCAGTGTAAGGGATGGTGCTCAGGGTTCGCTTCATAAAGCATTTAATGCCTTTCCTGCTGCACTGGGTTATTAAAAACACAGTCTACTGTATCTAAAATCCATTAAATTAACTCTGACTGATTACTTGGATTTGTAGCTTATTCACCAACTGCAAAAGGATCCACATGAACTCTGTTAGATGAGGCCCATGCAGTTGCATAAATGAATATAGATCCAATGATCACTATAGATCAGTGTTTTTCATTTGTTTACCCCCTTTAACTTGCTATCGGCCCAGTACCCCTGACTAGTGAAATGTCTATAAAGAGGTACAATAGAGCACTGTGGCATCAGAGTCTCACTTATTAAATAAAAACTGGAATTGAAACACTTAAATACTACATTTCATCAAATTCACAGCCAGTTTCTTGTCATCGTCCAGTAACACTAAGACGGCATTGAATTTGCATTGAATTGCAGATTTTTGAAAGGTTGCACATTTTACTGAGAAACTGAGGTTGAGCTTCACTGAGGATCTTTGTCATCCTCGGTGGCAGGAGGCAACTCTTTTCCACAGGTTTTACTGCAGTTAACAATTGCATTGAAAGGATTGCATTTACAGTTTTAATTGAACTCATTATAGTATAATTATTTAATTAATTTATGTACTATTTTATGAATGATTGTACTGATATTCTTTAAATGAACATTTAAAAACCAATGTCCTGCAGTACTCCAAAGTGCCCCTAGGGGAGAAACACTGCTATAGATTGTGAATGCAGTCGCATTAGAGGCCATAACTCCCACTGAGTACGTTATTATGAGCGGCAGCAGCACGAGTAGTATTTCATTTGACATATTGGGAAGTTGTGTCTGATTTTTACTTTTATCCTCCAGTGAACACATTTTACATTTTGTTTGTTTTACACTCCTTTCCTGTATCAGTAGTTGACAGTTTCACCACAAATATAACAAGATTAAATTATCAACATGAAACCAAATAAATGTGAATGTGAATCATAAAAATGTCTGCCATACACGTAGCTTTACCACAGCTTTGTAAAATGTGTCACGAAGTGATCTGACACTGAAGGTGAGTTTATTCACCGTGTTGGAGCTCACAGACTAAAAGCTTTGTCTTCTTAATAAGGAGCTAACAGATCAGACATAAACTGTGGACAAGTGATCGTTCTCAACTGAATATTCTTTTCCAAATCATTTCAACAGGTTGTGCAGTTTTTTCCTTAAAAAGTCACTGCTGAAGTCCCCATGAGAGAGGAGAGGAGCTTGTCTTACCGTCTGGAGGTTGGCTGGAGCAGCAGGAGATGAAGCTTTGCAGATGGAGGTCGGTGTTGAACCCTTCTGGATGTTGCAGCTCTTGGGCTGATGTTGCTGCTGTCTGTCTCCATCTGCCTCTTTTTATGCTCAGGTGTTTGTGCGTCACGCCCCTGAAGATGGAAACATTGACGTGCCATGCAATAAGTGATGGTTGTTAACCTATGAAGAATGTCCACACACACACACACACACACACACACACACACACACACACACACACACACACACAAATGATCTATTATTATACCTTAACTAACATTTAACCAACAGACAAAACAACAAAATAATTAATTTTTGATATATTTTGGGGGTTTTATAGTCCCTTTAATCGATAGAGAGAGCTGTAGAGTGACAGGGAGGTGACACGCAGCAAAGGGCCTCAGGTCGGAGTCCGACCCCTGACCGCTGCAACAAGGGCTCAGTTCTGGCACATGGGTACAGGTCCCTAAAAGCACCTTGATTTGATCAGCTCTGATGGATCTACGCTGTGTTTCAATAGATAGGGGTCCAATCTGACCCACAACAGCATCAATCTACAAAATATATCACACCTGTACAAAAGAACGTCATTTATAGTGTTTTTATTGATGTCAAATGTCAAGACAGATCAAATTTGACCCAAACTGTAACTGTAAGAGTTAGAATATGAATCAAACTTGTGAAGATGTGAAACTCCTAACCTGTTGATCTAGAGGAGCAACCCCTAGTGACTAACCACTAAACAAAGCACATTAAGGAAACTTGCTCTGTAGCCTTAAACTTTGACCCATCTGAAAGAAATCAACAGATTTGTGCTTTAAGTTCTATAAAGGAAATAAGAAACTCCACAGTTGATATTCAGATTTTATATATTATATATTATTATTATATAAAGGAGGGAGGATTGTAGTGGGAGCACGGGGGTGTCAGGTGTGACTGTGTGAAGGTAGGAGGAGGTAGACAGCCTCTGGGCAGGAATTAGCTTAAGGCGCCACAACTGCTCTTAAAATGCACCAGGACCACATTCTGTCACTGTGAGCCGCCTTTCTACCCTGAGGGGGGGTCAGGGACACTTGATAACCAGTTTGTTCACACATGGTGCCTCAGGTACATTCTGTACACGCCAGTTCATAACAGAAGTTATCACAGGACACTTTTCAAATAGAGCAGGTCTAGACTGAACTCCCCCCAACATTATTTACAGAGACCCAACAGTAACACCATGAACAAGCACTTGGCGATGACAGACAGACAGACAGACAGACAGACAGACAGACAGACAGACAGACAGAGGTGCACAGCAACAACTACACTAGTAGTGACTGATGATGATGAAGATAAAGAAGATGATGACGACGACAACAACAAGACAATGAGCAGTGACAATAGTAATAATAGTAATTAATAATATTAATAATATTAATAACAATATTAACCTGCGAGACGAGAAAGCACAAGAACTCCGGGGAAGAAGTGAAGTTAGTAACATGCATTAATGGAACATGAATGAGTGCAGAAAGAGAGAGGAAGAGAGGAGCTCAGTGCACCATGGGAAATCCCCCGATAGTCTAGGCCTATAGCAGCATAACTAAGGGATGGTTCAGGACTCACCTGATCCAGCCCTAACTATAAGCTTTATCAAAGAGGAATATCACCACAAGTAGCCCAGCATTCAGAGAACGTAGTGTTCTAGTGGGGTAATAGGGTACTATGAGCTCTTTAAGATATGAAGGGGCCTGACCATGAAGAGCTTTATAGGTGTCTTAAATTCAATTCTACATTTTATAGGGAGCCAATGCAGAGTAGCTAGTACAGGAGAGATATGATCTCTTTTTCTAGTTCCTGTCAGTACTCGTGCTGCAGCGTTCTGAATTAATTAATAACATCAGAAAATTGCAGGTCATCCAGGATTTTATGTCCTTAAGACATGTTTGTAATTTAGATAATTGATTAATTTCATTGGGCTTGATCGATAGATATAACTGCGTATCATCTGCAGAACCAAGTACAGAACCTTATGGAACTCCATGACTAACTGTATTATTTATTGAAGATTCATCGTTAACATGTACAAACTGCAAACGATCTGATAAGTATGACTTAAACCAGCTTAGTGCGGTTCCTTTAATGCCAATGCTCAAGTCTCTGTAAA